ACCCTTGTCAGTGTGGACGGATTGGACAGGCGCTTCCGCCCCTGTGCTTGCTGTCTGATATATTCTCACAGCTTCGAAGCAGTGGCTGTTTCAGTGTGGGAGGCTGAGCTATCTGTTCAAGTAGAAAGCGCAGAAATTTTAGAGGGACATTCTCAGGCCATGACAGTCACGACCTCCCTCGAAATGTCGGCGGCAGACGCTCATGAAATCCTCAGCTCACATCCCAGATGTTTTGCAGCTAAGACGTATCATATACTAATATACCTCCCTGAATTTCACACAAGATGAGCTGGCCAGCTGCAGGCAACATTGCATGCCTCTTTCGGCACGCTGCACCAAAACTGCAAGGCTGCCGTGTTCTTTCCTGCAGTTAACGTTTCACACAGTTCACACATGGCACTACAGTAGGCTGCCAGGCCTGCTTCAGGTATCTATTTAGTGCTCAAGCACTGTGTCAGCGCGTGGCCCGCCTCGGCCTGGCTCCTGACCATGCAAGACTTGCTGGTACCAGTTAGGGGCACTCATGTGCCATCTGTTCTGGGCTCACCAAGTGCCCGGCAAATTCCTGACGGTGGTCAGGAAGGCAAAGGTTACATATCGGCGGCGGTCAAGTGTCACGGGGGCGTTCCGTTACCTTACCGTGGTAGTTCGAGCCGGGGAACCCAATTCCAATCGCGTGAACTTATGGTCCTTGCAAAAGGGACTTAGACCACATAGCCAAGGCTGAAGCGAATGTTAGGTTGCCTTGCTTGGGCGCATTGTGCTCTTCTGTGGCAAACTCGATCGTCGGTGCTAAGAGAGCTTATTCGCGCATAGCAGCGCCATGACAGATTCAGCGGGAACTGCAGAAGGCATCCTTTGAACTTTAGACACGCTTTGCACATTTGCACCCTCCCACTAGAACCTCTCCTTGGGTTGGTTTGGCGGCCCGGGATCAGTGGTATAATTGTTTCTGCTCAGTGGAAAGAATAATGACCCTAGACTTATCCTAGGCGTATGGAAACGCCTGCAAAGGAAGATTGCGGCATGTCTCGCGATGAGTCGTGATAATTCTGTGTATATATATGTATAGATGTATATATGTCATATAGATGTATATACGTATATATGTATATATGCATATATCCCAGACAGTGCGAGACCACATGGGGACGGAAGAGCATGTCAAGCTCTCCAGACACGAGGAAGACATTGACGATCAGCTTCAACAACGATGTCGATGCCACTGGGAGCTCCAAAGGTCGACGAGCCAATGGACCTCCGGACGTGCTCCTTGTACATCTTGCACTACGTTTGCCAGAGCTCCGGATGTCCTCCAGAAATCGTGAACCCCGACCTCCAAAAGCGGCGATGTTTTCGCATTTAGCGAACCCAGACGTCAAAAAGCGACAGTGACGAGGATGCGATTTCCAACGTCCCGAAAGCAAAGATGCCCGAAAAAAGGCCGCAGAGCCATATTCTTTCCCGCATTAAGTCCTGCTATGTCACATTTTGCAGAGAGCAAGCGGTACAGAAAAGGTCCGGCGTCTCTTGGCAAGGACGCCGGAAAACCACCAACTGACCACCAAACATTTCAAGGGGTGCCCTCCCTCCCAAGTCGTGGGGATTCGTGACAGCTGATTTGCTCGGTGGAAAACGATCCTGGGCGTATTTGTGCTCTCCGAAAACGCTCAGTTTGTCAGCAGCATACACACTGTGCCGGAGTATGTCTGAGAAAGGTCTCCATGAGTGAGGGCTGTCAGGAATGACAATACCGACTGTCATTACTCATCCGAGAATTTGCTCCCACCAGGCCTGTCCAACTTAGTGCTTTCGTTGCACCAAGAGATGTCAAAGCATTGCTGGCTCGCTTATGGATTGCTAGCTTGTTGATTGGCGTGAAAAAGCACATGCAAGTATGCAAGTATTATGGCCGAGGTCACATCGGACGGAAACACGCGCGACTTCTCCACAGAGCTCGTCGACATCAGGAGCTTGTTTCGCACACATCTTTTGCAACAGGGCGGGTGGTTGACTTCTTAAAGCGGAGATGTGTGGAGCAGATTGGAGCAGGTAGCCCAGTCCGTTCCTTCGCCGGCCATGATTGAGCTGAGCTAGAAACGTTCTGGCGGAGAGCGGTTGGTTCATGTTGAAACGGTTTAGTATGTTTAGTGAAGGACTGATGCCAGCTTGTTGGGCTCGAGACCACACAACCACTTTCAGAATCAGATAGGTCAATTCGGCTGATCAAAGAAATCAGGCTGCTGTTCAAAGAATGCGCAGCATGAGACGATTGACTGAACGTTTCGCCGGTGAACTTCGGCATGCCAACTTCCGCTCTCACACTGCTTGTCTGGGTTGCATCATCAGACAGAAATTGCCATAACGCCACTTCAAAGCATGGAGTGTGCTACTCGAGCCTGGCCTGCATCGGCCACGGCTTGGGTGGACAGTTGTCCATGCCCCAAACTAGACATGGGCAAGCATGGTACCTGGTTTAGAGTCTGCCTAGCGTGACCAATGTGAAGTTGCAGGGGCTTTTGCTGTGGCATTTCTCATGCACCGTTGCTTTCCGCGCGAAGCCGTCTGTGCTACAATTGACAATAGCGATGCGCATGTCACTTGCCACATGATCCAGCCACTGGCCTACCAGGAGCAACTGCAAGCATGGTAGCTCTGAGCACTTGTCTGGATTCTGTAGTTAGGGAGGAAACCCTTCTTAGACCAGCAAGGATTTATTTGCTCTTGTATTGCCGGCCAGCCGGCCATGTCGAGCGACAACATGTCGTCACTGACACCCCGCCAGTATCCCAAGCCTTGCATGTCAGGAAAATCTCAGAATGGCTGAGTCTCTGCTTGGCCACTTCTTGTATCACGCATGTGATATCGCCGTCATCTCATTTTGAGTCATCTTGAGTAGCGGTCCATAGCGGCCCAAACGACCCAAGAGTTCCAGAGATGCAGTTGGAACACATGCACATGCTGGAAACATCAACCCACCTCACTCCCTCGCCTGCTTGGCAGCTCAGCCAGCTGCCCAGCACGATACCACGTGTTGAGTCAGCAGGTTAACCAAATCCCTCCGCTCAAGACCACGCTCTCTTATTTACCTGGCCTGCAGCCATCAGCATGCCGTAGATGTCCTGCCCGACCATGCTGTCAGCAACGCAGTTGCGTAGTGCAAATTGAGTGACGAAAACACCAAACGCGTTCCGGCGTTCAAGTTCAAGGCCGTCGAGAGTGCCTCGGTAATCTTGGTACTGTAGGCCTGCAGTGGGGAGTCGGATGCTTCAGATCAGGTTGTATCGACATATATATATATGTATGTGCATAATTTTGGACCTGTCATCGGATCTGTCATGACGGGTCGCTGGCATTTGTTGGGTCCTGGTGCTGCCCGGCTGTAGCTTTCGTGGAACGTCTGCTGAAGTAGCCGCATAGCCTTCTAGATTGACCATTCTGTGCGCTAAAATACGAGCTGGGCGGGGACAGATTCAACCTATCTCTTTCATTGAAAGTTGTTATGCAAGTGAATCTTGGACACTGGAGATCTGAAGATCTGCCACTTTCTGAAATCCGGATTTAGTTTTCGAGCCATTGCAGGCCAGGCTGGAACTGACTGCGGTATAAGGCCCAAGGTTGTTTCGACATGCACCTATGCTCTACAAGCAGGTGGTGACAGTAAAAGTGCATGTTGAGGACCCTAAATTTCTGTGCGACCTTGCCGCACAAGCGGTATCGCCCATGAGGTCAGATCGCTTGGAGTACTTCTAGGCCCAGAAGACTGCTCAGCACATGTCTCAGTTCATCAGTTCAGAGATCACTTTCCCGAGTGCTGAAAACTGCAGTGCTGCTCAGCTCAGGATCGACTGCTTTCGTGGCAGCTGCCTTACACTGACAGAGTCAACTCCACGTCAAGCCCTAGAAGCCGGTACGTACATGCCGAGACGCATCCATTTAGAAGCAGTTCTGAGTGCCCCGCAAGCCAGGAAGTCAAGTCAACGCAAAGCCATGACAACTCCACTTCGCAATGGGCTTTGTAAGATCATTGTCCTCATGATTTGTCTCTTCAGCTGGAAATGTCGGGTGCGGTTTTGGAAGCAGCATGGACGGGCGACAGCTCCCAATGAATTTCTTGAAAGTTAGCAACCTTCTGTCACGAAAGCTAGCTCCTTGGAGCTTGCGAGAGTTGTCGTTTACAACCTTTCTCTCTAGTGTTCAGGTGGGTCAACAAGCAACCCCTGAAAAATCAATTAGTTAATGGGCTGCCCCCTTAAACATTGATTCTAGCTTTCTTTGGCCCCTTATTGTGAGGATTTGAATCCGCAATGCTCCTGAAAGCTTTTTCTGCTACCCTTGGGCTTGCCATGATGCCAAAGTCTTCATGTTTATGATCGGGCAATCGGAAAACACACACTTCTCTCCACCATGTAGCAGAGCATGTGTGGCGTCTTGGGTACAGGGGACGTTGTCCGGCGTTTGTCTAGCTTTCGTCAACCTTAGCCCCAAACTCTGGACTCTAAACTTATCTAAACAGTAAGCCGAAACCAACCCTGAACCCTGAACCTAAACGCAAACTTCCAAGCTCCCCAACCACACCACAGGTAGAGTAAAGTGTGAATTTAATAAGCTGCCCACCTCAAGCTTTCCGGAGGTAGCTGCCGTACTATATCAACATCTGGCCTTCACAAACTGGCGCGCGAAGGTTGCATGTGACAATTTGGCTCGCAGTGTCAGATGCTTGAGCTTGTCACCAGTAGAAAGTTGAAGTAACATAGTTTCAGAAAAGGCGGCAGGCTTGTCCACAAAACGCGCGGCACTTCAGCGCAGGCCTTGGCACCCAGATCCGTGATGCGGGCATCAGATCTTCCGGAGAAGTGGAAGGCAAGCCGATGTAAGCCGCACCTCTAAGATTCTGAGATTTGATCTGATCTGCCGTCGGGAATCGCATGGCAACCCTACCGTGAGAGGCGGGACCTGCCGAAGTGTACACGGGCCTTGCCCAGAAGTCCTACTACTTGATGAAGGTTGGCACCGGTAGTCCCTGCTCTCTCAATGACTCGAGTTTTAGGCAATCTGAGGGCTTAGGCATAGGACGAATTCGGAGCAGTTGTACTCCAATCGGGACACAGAGGACCACTTTTCCGCTCACACATGCTAAGATTTAGCCTCGGTTATTTCCATTGCTGTATGCCACATGTTGAATGAATTTTATAGATGGATGGAGTCTGTACGGACCCGATTCAGTTTTGAATTGGGCCCCAGTTTGAAGATTGAGGACCGACCAAGCACCTCGAAGTGCTTGGTCGGCCGGGCCCGGCATCGAAGACGGAAGATTAAAGAGGGGGTCAAGATCAGGGAAAAGAATAGAGAGAAGAGAAAGAAGAAGCAGGAGAAAAAGAGATGGAAGAAGACAGAGAAGAAGAAGAAGGAGAAGAGACGAAGAGAGTCAGAGCCTACAAAGGAGAGCCCAAATCCCAAAATCATAAAAGTTAAAAAGAAAACCTATCCCCTAGGTCCTTTTATTCAGCCCTAAAGAGCGGCATCCCCTAAATCTGGTTTCCTAAATCTTGCTTAGTTTAATTCCCTAAATCCTATTCCCTCGTCCTTAGATCCTAGCGAGGAGAGCCCTCTTAGAGCCCGAAATCTTCAAAAATGAGCGCTATTCCCTAAATCCTGTCACTAAATCCTACTTAGCGAGATCCCTATTTGTCCTCCCTACATCCCTAAACAGGAGATCCTTTTCGCTAAGGCCTAAAGAGTGGGATCCCAAATCTGATTCCCCAAATCCTATTGCACAAGCGATAGGGCGGGTCGTCGTTAATTCCGCCAAATCCTAAAGAGCGGGATCCCTAAATCGTATTCCCTAGATCTTATTCCCACTAGAATTCCTGCTCCCAACATCTTGTTCCTTAAGTTTTGTTACCTAGATCCTTTTCCTAAATCCTGTTCGCTTGGGACTTAGCGTAAGATTTATGCCCCGACTCGGGCAAACTCTCTCTCGCCCCCTTGATTATGAGCAAACTTAATAATGCTTAGAAGCAATATGTTGTGTGACAAACACTCTTCCCAACCAAGATTGAGTACGCAGACCAGATGTTCCGGAAAGTCTTCCGGAAGATTTTGGACTGAAGTTTGAAGATTCCCTGAATTTTTTCCCCGGCATCTTCAATCTTCAATCCAAAAAATCTCCCGGAAGAGTTTCCGACAACAGTTCTGGATGCATGGATACATGCTCATAGTGGTTTCGTTGTTATATTTCCTGGTAAATCCTGTATCTCTCTCGCTCTCATCGTATAGGTGTGTGATTATTGGCACCCCCCCCCCCCCCCCCCCCCCCGCTACCCCTGAAACTTGGAAGGCCTCAAAAAGGCAGGTATGGGGGGGGGGGGGGTCCACCTATAAACAAATATATAGATGAATACATAAGTGTAATTATATATATATATATGTATATGTGTATACATATGTCCTTTCCTCTGTTTTTGACTATGCTTTCTGTTCTACACATGCTTTCCTGAGAATGTTCGTCCCAGCAAACCCCTTCATTGATTTTACAGCCAGCAGTTCAATCTTCACAAGGACCCTCCGAGACTCCTCATCTCACCAAAGCCCGAAAAGCTTGCAAAGAACTTGTCCAAAAGGCGCCACCCAACTTGCACTCTGAAACCCTAGGGAGCCATCTCGGAGATCCCCTGAATGCAAACGTGTCATGTGCTGTGTAGCTCTGTGCAGCTCTATGCAGCGCTATGGTCTCGCAAGCCTCCTTCGCCTCCCACCACCCCGCTACCGCCACCCCTCCGACAAGAATCGTCAACGCAAGCACACACCCACAAATGCGTAAAAGAAACGTCGCCCGAGGAGAATCCCGTCCTCTTTGATATGACAGTGGATGAGGATCTCGAGGCGAGGCAAGCATTGACTTCAAAGCTTTGGACATCTGCATCAGTATCTGATGCAAGTTTTGAGTTGCCTCAGTCGATTGTTTCTGTTTCGTAACTTGGAGCATGCTTTTTCCCACATGCATTAGCGGAAGCCTTCGACAGAAACTCCAAGTGGAGAAAGAGAAAGACGACGAGGAGAAGCAGAACAAGGACTGCTGAGAAGATTGATGAAGAGCATGTAACTAGCTGATGCAAATGTCCATCACAGCTCTGTCCAGAGGACTTGGAAGACAATGCCAAGGAGGCCTTCCAGCGCATTTGCATCGTTCCATCAACAAAACCCTAACCATCGTCCGCTGGAAAAACCTAGCAGGTTCGCTGGAAACTACCATGTGAACCTGCTCCGCTGGAAAGTTTCCTGTGCGCTGGAAAGTTTCCATCCATTCCACAACTTCAAGCCATGGAGTACTATGGGTTCCTCGCTGGGTTTTAATTATGCTCTTCGCTGGGCTGTCGCTGGGTTTTCAATAGTTTTGAATGTCCTGTGAAGATCTGTGAAAACCTGTGAAGTTCTGTGAAAACCTGTGAAAACCTGTGAAGATCGACCTGCGAAGACCTGTGAAGACGTGTGAATCCTTGACACCCCCCAACCCTGAACCCAATCTGTGTTTCCTCCTGTTTCGCTGGGTTTCTCTTACAGGTTTCGCTGGGTTTTTGTAATGGATTCCGCTGGGTTCTTCGCTGGATTTTTTCAAGCACATTCAAGCATGTGGTTTCGCAGGAAAATACCAATAGGTCGCATTTCGCTGGAAATTACCATGTGGATCCCGGTTTTCTCTGTGGCTGATGCATAGGGAAGTAAGAATGCATCGAAACACTTAGAACCCAGCAATAAGGTTCCTGGTTCTAGGGAGGAGGGTGTCCGCGCAGCGCGCAAACTGCAAGCTTCGGGAGCGACGCTCGCAGAGAGGGAGAGACAAAAAAACAGGCGCAGACGGGGCGGGCGAGGACGCTCGGGGGCTTGCCCTATTGCCCCCAAGAGAGAAAGAAAGAGAAGGCGGAGACGGAGACACTGAGAGAAAGAGAGAGCCCCCCTCACGTGGGGGGGCCAAGGGTGCTAAATGAATGAAAGAAGGGAGAGAGAGAGAGAGAGAGAGAGAGAGAGAGAGTGACTTAGTGGACCGCCGCTACCAGAAGACGTGGACTCAAGACGAAGGAGAACACATGAGGGGGCTAGTAGTGACTAAGGCATAGACTTTCGGCTGAGAGCGCGGGGCACAGCGGGGGGAACTGATCCAGGCCGCAGGTGTCTTAGTTGGATTGTGGGGGCAACACTAAGAGCTTAAAGGGGGGGGGGGGGATCGTGAACCCCGGCCCGCAGCTCTAAGGCATTGCAAGGGTTGCACAGGCAACAGACCGTGGACCCGAACTTTCACTCAGAAAGTAGCCCGCGAAACACGCAGAAGTCACACCCGACAAACCGTGGACTTCGCGCGCCCCTGGGGGCGGCCTCCTCCTTGGGGGGGGGGGGGCCAAGCGTGCAGAGAGAGAGAGAGAGTGATAAGTCACACTCGGGGAAAAAGCCGGCACAACACCGTGTAACCGAGGAAAGTTTCACAGTAAGAACGCACTCGGGCGCGCTCGTGCGCGAAGGGGTCCGATGGGGCTCCTTCAAGCCCAGCATAGCCCAGCATAATAAGAAGAAGAATAAGAAGAGTGATAAGTAAGTCATGTAAGCTGCATTCTGTCTCCCCGGGTTTCGGTTACTCCAAAGTACCCTGTAACGCGCGCCTTCGGGCGGCCCCCTTCAATTGGGAGAGGTTAGGTGCGCAGGAAGAGAGCAAGCGAGAGAGCAAGCATGAGGGAGAGAGAGAAGGAGGGATAATTAATTGGGACATGGGACTGAGCGAAGCAGCGAAAGCGTGTCCGCGCAATCTCTCTAGCCTGGGAAAAAGAGCGAGAGGTACAGAAAGAATGAACGAAAAAGCAACCATAAATGTTATGATGTTTTTTGAGGAAAAGTTGTAGTTTCACTTGATGGGTTGTTTCCAAGATTCCTGGTCCGTTGCCACTGCGATTGTTTCTACGGTTTGCGTTGTTGCTGGTTCTCCTTGGTCAATCACAATCGATCACGTGGACATGGTTTTTCGAAGTGTGTTCGACCCACCAGCCCTCCCCCTACTACTGTAATTTTCCTAGATGCACGTAAAGATGGCGAGGCACATGGTGTGTTAAACTGGAGCCTCCACCCCAGCATGTCTCAGGACACTTTGGTCCTCCGAAAGCGGATCGAGGAAGTCAAGATGAACGAGCGCATTCGCTCTTCGGAAGAAGTTAAGAGATCTCACGACGCCATAGTGCATCTGTCTGCCTTCCTGCCTGTTTAATACAGAAAGTGTTCCGCGACTGCGTACACATCCCAGAGCAGCGCATGTTTCAACGACAAGATTCTCAGGTGCCGTTACGGAGTTGCTGTATCTGAAGGCGCGGGCATCTGTTTCGCAATTATTCTGTTCTTATCCTTGCGCGCTGGCCGTTTCTGAGGTATGCCGCAAGTTTCAGCAGCTGCAAGCAGCGTCCTCGGATCTTAAGAGTGGCTCCCCCTCCCCCCCCCCCCCCCCCCCCCCCCCCCCCCCCCCCTCCCCCCCCCCCCTCTCCGCAGCGCCCCCGAGCCTATCGGTCTGGCCTGCTGAGAGATGGGTCGATGACTCATTCACGCTAAATGCCTCACAGTGCGCCGATGCTGACGCAACCTGGGAGCGCAGGTGCCCTTGATACCGCAGCTGAAAGAGGGTGGTGACGTGCGGTTTGGAAATGTTGACCTCAAGGCCTGGATTTCGGCCTGGATTTCTTGGAGGGCTTTCGCTATGCTTTGCTCATCGCATCATCGTGCTTTGCGCAGGGTCTTACCACGGACATCTATTCTGCAGATGCCCTGGAGCTCGTGCGCGACCACCTCTTCCGAATCATTGGCCAGCAAGGAGGCAGACTCGGGAGACATCGATGCCGTGGGATGGTCATATGAACAAGACTTCAAATCAAAGATGCTTGAAGTATCAAGCCTGCAATGCTTCTTGAGGGTACATTGTGACATGGCCTGACAGGCAATCCATCTTTTGCTGGAGGAATGGGTGTCGTGCAGATTGCCTTGTTTCAGGCTGGTCAGGCTGAGCCCTCAACGAAAGAACTGAGATTTGATACGAGTGTAAGTGCAGCATCCTGCAGCATTCCTTTGCTTCAGGGCATCCAGCATGTGCTGAGCATGAGGTTTATGCAATGTCAGCTATGTTTGGCTATTACCTCCGTCGCGTGGATCAAAGGCACACCGCTGTGATCACAAAACGTAGCTTTCTTCATCCACGGAGAGCCCGCAGCGCATGTACAATTGTATGCAGGTATCAACTCGAGAAGCTGGCCGGTACATTTGGTGCATGGGGAGAGGCGCATGAATCATGAAGACTCCTGCGCAGAAAAGTGCTCCCCACATTCCCCACTGCCAGTCCACAGGCAAGCGAAGAAACGTCCAATCCTTTCTCAGAGGCTCGATCCCAATACCAAGAAGCACTAAAGTTGGTGACATGGCTTGACCTTTGCACATGCGCTTTGCAGCTCATCATGAGGATCCTGGGGCTGCGGACTCCCTGAAAGCCGATGTCCCAGATTCGCAAAGTTTGGTCGGTACGAGTCGTTACAGGTCGAGCGCAGCGGTTCTGCCTTCCACCTTACATCAGCTTGCTAGATCCGTCTCATGAGGGCTACATCAGCTCTTTTGGTCCGGATGAAGTCCAAAGTATGCATGGCGCTTAGACATGGCACTCGCCACAGAGGGGTGGTCTGCCATTCGTCTGCAAGTGGACTTAAGTATGACAAAGTTGCACTCTAGAAACTCTGTTGGAGAACAGGTGGGCTGTGACTTCTGCAGAAGCACAGTTAGCCATGGAAATGCAGGTCCCAGTCTTGCCTTCTGATGTCACAGCTCTTTGCGTGATGCTGCGTGCAGAAGTCATGATGCACAAGGTCACTGCTCTTTTTGGTGATCTGCGTGCTTTGAAAGAGAAGTTGGTCAATGCACTGGGCATGGCTTGGGGCCCGGGCCGAGAGAGATTCCGAATGCTGTGCTGCTCAAATCACTCTATCTCTCCCTATCTCCCCCTATCAGCCCGAATCCTTTTTCTCGGACCTACCTTGCTGTGACTGTTGAATTCACAGCATCACAAGGCGTTGGCGCAGCACGGAGATCGAAACAAGTAACTTAAGTAAACGTTTAAAGGTGTGACCCTGCACTAGCAATAGCAGTTGATCTTGTTGTTGAGTCCAGGTCGGGCTCGAATATGTTGCGTTTATATTTGAGTTCCAGCAAAATCCGAGTGCTTTCGTAGCATCTGACAAATTAGGAAAATGTAAATTATGCAAGAACTCCGTGCGCTCACAATCCCTTTCTTACTTGGGGCGAATAAGGAGTGTATGTGGATTTTCAGTTCTTAAGTGTGAAATGCTATATTTGTCGCGATGAAAGGATCCTAATGCAATGCAATCTGAGTTTTACTTCAGGGAAGAGACTCGGATCATAGTTCATTTTGATTTAGAATCCCATGTTTGTATTGGGATGCGCCTAAGCGCCTAGGCGTTTATCAGGATCTTTATTAACTCTGAACATGGAATCCGATTCGCAGGCTGCGAAAAACAAAAAGCAACACAAAAAACAAATCCATCCCACGCTTTCGCGACATCGAGTGATAGCACCTGATTTTGGAGCACAGAAAGCGCAGCGGACTGGGGCAAGAGCGCGAGGTGGCCCGTTGGGCGACGTCACAAGCTGAGTTTTTGCAATAGAAAAGCACTAGGAACAAAACCAAACCCCACGAACTCTCGAGAACATTTTTGGATCCGACGCCCGAATTTGATCCTAATGCCATGTCCGGTTGAATATTAGGAGGTAGTGCAATCCTAACGCAGCAACGGAAGATGCTTGTTTTCAATTGCTTTTTTGTCGGCAAAGATGATCATCAAAGGCATTGCGGTAGGACACCAGCGCGGAGACAAACATCGAGATCTTGTCAAACAACGGCTTGGCGTTTGTTTGGGGCCGGCCGTTTGGGGGACGAAGAGCTAGGGGTAAATCGCAGCAGATTCAATGCTAGGATGAAGCGATCAGCAGGTCAATTCGCCAGAAGAGGCAACCATGAAGCTGGAGAAGGCCATTAAGTCCAAGGAGGCGAAGAGCGGAATGACATGGAATGACGGATTCGCATGTTGCAGAGCCTGTCACATCTTGCATGCAGTCCTTTTGATCAGGTGGAGTCCCTGCGCATCACAAGCGATGACTTGCGTAGATTGGTGCTGGAGGAAACCGCAGAACTGCCCCCGTTATTTCACGCTTTGTGCTACAAGAAGTCGAGGCGGTTGCCTTTGGATCATTGCTGAATGACTCCGAGAAACAGGCAGGCTAGAATACAAACCGTGCCAGCTGTTTTCATCTGTTTTCTGTTTCAGTTCGACACCCTTTACGAGCTCACGCCGGCCTCTAGCCGGGTGATGGGCCTGCTCACGGGCGACGACGAAGAAGGCCATGAAGCCACGCATGATTTAATAAACTTAATTATGCGGTCTCCGTTTCCGCCTGCAAACCACATCTGCAGGGCGAATGCTGCCAGAGTGAACGCCCAGGCATATAGAGTGACAGATCTAGAAATTTGCACAGACACGCCTCCCATAGAGGTTGCATCCCTGCTGCACATTGTACAGGCAACGTTTTTCTGGCAGCGGCCAAACCCAAGGTGTGCAAGCGATATCCTCGCACCACAATCTTCACAGCCTGGCGATTTGTCAAAGCTTCTTCGGGGGACATTGCTGAAATGTGCACCTGATGCAGTTCTAGAGAGCTTGGGTAGTACCAAAACCAGGCCTGGAGCTCTGCAACCCCACGCAAAAAGCCATCACAGGAATCCATGGGTTATGTCCTGTTAGGGATGTGTTTTGCCAGTGCACCTGACTGAATTCAAGGACGAGCGGTCATTCAGATGCCAGATGGACCCACAAAGTAGCTCTTGACCGAAAGCCTCATGACTTCCTGACACAGCGACGACAGATTGGACCAGGGCCACAAAAGCTAGCAACACATGTGACATCAATCAGCTGACTACTTTCCCCTGCCATGGTCAAAAAGCGAAAAATCGACGAGGAGGTTCTTGAGGAAGCGGTGCAAACGGATTCAGTGCAGAAGAAAGGCTTGAAAAGCAAAAAGAGGAAAAGCCAGGAGGCTGTCGAATCCGTCGCGGAGGAATCGCCAGCAGCTGCAGCTGTGAATGGAGATGCTGATCACGCTGAGCGTCTCCGGCGGGCCTTACAAAGAGACATCCAACAGCTGGTCCTCAGGTGCTTCCCATAGCATCCACAAGCATTCTGAAATATTCAGAAACAATTTGAAACACGCATAGTTTACCATGTTTACCAGCTGGTCCCTGCCCAGGCTTCGAAGTGAAGGCAAGACAAAAGCTGAAATCAAAGCAGCCACCCAAGAGCTCAAGGCATTCTGTTAAGGCATTGTGTAGTGTTTTTGCTGCTACTCGCTGCAAGATCTGATGCGCTCTGGGCAGGCGCAGCGTGGTGCCGTTAGGAGCTCCAAAAGCACGAAAAACAACAAGAAGAAGCAGAAATGGGAAGCCCCACGGCCGCAGGGATGGCTGCAAGGCTTGCAAGGCTCCCTGCCTTACGCCCCAATTTCTTGCGCCTGACTGATGCTGCCTGACAATGCCTGACATCTGCAGAGTGAAATGCCAATTCTAGTTTTGACACGGTCATGCAGACTCAGGCCGATGCAGCTGAAAGACGTGAATCTGGCCTGCTTACAGCGTCCCGTGTGTGTGTGTGTGTGTGTGTGTGTGTGTGTTTGTTTAGAGCTTGTGCCACTGCTTGTGGGATTATGACTGCCGATTCGATGTCAGTCGGCCTCACCTCAAGTGCTGTTTGTTGTGGGCCGTCTAGCTTCCGGAGCCTAATGTGCAATGCTGCTGCAGGCACCCATTCATACGCATCTGTGTAATCCTGCGACTGAAGGAACACCTAATGTAATTCGTCCTGTTTTGTGGTTCCAAAGTACTATTAACAGTGAACAGAATATCAGCATTTCCGGACGGGCGCTGGACTGTATGGGTTTCTGTATCCCTTCATGTGGGCTTTTGTCGGTCTTTCGGAACTTTTCGGAGTCGGAAGTCTACCGTTTGTCGTATTGTTGCAGCTGAGTGCAATGCGGTGCAACTGGTGCAGCTGACTGCAGATAAGACAGGGCAGACGCACCTACAGCGGCAGCATGATCTGGCCAGGGCTACAGAAGCCTCCATTGAAGCCTCAATTGCCTTCCAATTGTCTCAGTTCATGTAAGACTTTGTGATATTTGTGACCACATGATCAGATCACGTTGATCACATTCTAAGTTTTGGGTTTGGTATATGGGGTGCTTGCCGAGGTCGTGATTCCAGTGGTGTGGCGTGGACGACATGACAAGCTGGATGTTCTGCAAGTACGGGGCACAGAAGGGACCCGAGTGGAGTTCAGAGTTTACCTGTGAAGTGAATGAAGGAGGTGATAAGTGATAAGTGAGAGATTTTGAGAGCCAAAGCGCAAGCCAAAGCCAAAGCCAACGCCAAAGCTGAGAAATGCGGAGGCTGCAGAGGACATCAAAGCCTGCCTTGCACAGCAGGGCTTAGATGTTTGGCTGGACAGCAGGACATGGCTGCACCGTTGCAGAATGTTGCTGTGTTGCACGGTAACGAGCGCCCTTCAGTGAGGGTCTTCGTTTGTTGCCCTTTCTCCGATCTCCGGTAGGCGGCATCTCACTCCCGGTCAAAAGCCTGAATCCTGGTGCCAGTGCCTGCCATGTGATGGCTCTGACACCAGATGCAGCCAGATGCAGCGCTTAACTACATCTCTCCAAGGTTCTCACACTGGGAGCACCGTGGCGTCATGTTACGCGTCGAGATTGGACCACAGGATCTACAGGAGGGGAGTGCACAATCGGGTGGGCACATGTGGATTCATGACCACCTGTCACATGGCTTCACTGCGGTTCCGGATGCCTTACCGCTGACAGGCTCAGGTGTGCCAAGTTTGCAAAGCAAAACTTCCTGGCGATTACCAGTCTGTGGAAAGGACGGACTGTTTTCAGTGCATGATTGAGAGAAGCTACTACTGGCTAACCAGCAAGCTCTGTGATCCTGGAATCAGCAGGGCTTGCTGCTTGCACAAGTTCATGCGTTTCAGAGTTGCTGTTTTGACGAACGTCTCCCTTAAGTGCTCCTCATTTCCGGGACGCATCTATTCGAGTCCATACCGCAGCGGCAAGAATGGCTTTTGCCCCCAGGAAGAAGGTACCTTTGCCACCAGCTGGAGCACGATCTTTGTTGCTACGGTTAAAGGAGCTGGGGACTTGAAAATGGTGACATTGCCACATGTTCTGTTAGACTTGGCACACTGCAAGGTGGGGCTTGTCGCAGATAGACGTCGAAAGAAGGGACGGCGACTCCGAAGACGAAACTGCAGAGGTGGAAAGAGCTGCTGAACCGCGTGAGGTATGTGTGAAGGCATGGCAGGGTGCACCCGTCGTACAGGCGCCGCGCAGCAGACAAAGCCAACAGGCAGTTCTGCACAGCTGGGTTGCAAACTCAACAACATCAAGCGCAATGCAGGCTGCCATCGCAGAACCTGAAGACGAAGTGCAAGGTCTCAACACTTCTTTGCATGTTCGGTTTACACATGATTTCGCATGCTTGGTTACTTGATTTGCCGTATATGCATTGCCGAATTCAGGCAATTGGCAACCAAGAACAGCGACCTCAGGCAGCACAGTTTGAGACACAGCACAGTTTGACGCACTCGTGAAAATTTGGCAGCGGGCTGTTGGAACCCCAACATTCAGGCAAGAAGAAGAAGGGCAAGGCCAGACAAGCTTTCCCTTGCACTATTAAATTGAATGGTGAATGGGTGGCGCGGAAAAGCTTGCATGGAATGTGTCGCACAAGGTACGTGCCAAAAAAGAGCTTTGATGCTAGCAGCACCAAAGCCCAAAAAAGTGTCAGGGCGCAGGCTTGCCATGCTTCGCTGCCTTGCTGTCATTTGACGTGTTTGCGGGTCCATGGAATTTGCCAAGGTTCACAAATGACCAGAGGTGCTTGCCATTGAGTTAGGTGAGTAATTGAGCTGTGTAAAATGTAAAATAAAATGCGCACGATGCCATGTCGGCTCATGGCTCTCAGCGCGCAGTCGGCCCTTGCATTTCCCGAAAGCTCTGAAGCTCCGAGAGGCTTTGGACATTGCCATGCTGCGGCTGCTTTCAGTTCGGAGCTGTAGAGCACATGATCACTCTGACAAATCCGCAGGCACTTCGAGCATGTTGCCACGAGTGCGACCTGCTCTGACTTGGATGCTGGCATTGATCTTCAGCGGTCCTGTGCTCTACAGGACTGCTTTGGATAGCCTGCGTAGTTGGCGGGTTGGTAGCCTGGTAGACCAAGCAAGACATGTCGCTTTAAATGGATTTAGCGTGGTTGGGTCTAGGACTGCCTCATGTAGATTGTCGTCAGCCATGAAGTTCATAAGCCGTGTTCCCATGCCTCCCATGGCCTCTGCTGTGATGCAGAACTTGACAAACTGAGTAAGAAGGCGATGTATAAGCGCTGCGATCAGGGAATGTCATGGCAGAATAATTTGGGTGGTTCGTAGAACTGCCGGGCACTGATTCGGACAGAGGAGCATCTCATTTTCAGCGCCTCGCATAGCTGGCGGCACCTGGGCTGCACGGTGGCTTATCATGCTTTCGCTCTCTGGATGACAAGTTTGGCATGTTGATGATGCACATGATGATGGCAGATATGAGTGCTCTGTGTGTGTGAACCCTGCGCATGAACTGCATGGTCTGCTCGAGCAGAGCTTCATTGGACGATAGTGCACGTCGTGCACTGCTTGAAGCTTTTGCAGGGTGTTAAGACAAGGGCGAAGGTATTTGCGTTGTGCCACTCCAAGGGGCTGGACAAGATTTGAAGGGATTGAAACAATTTGGAAGATGCCGTGAGCGGTTTCCACAGCGAAACAGCCATACACGAGCAAAGAGCTGACGGAAGAAAATGGACGAAAGCTGATACTGACGTGGTGATGTTTCCCCCCACAGCCCCCACACCCCATAGGCGAAGAGCTAGGCCCTTCGGGCCGCACCGGCATGGGGCGGCTGAGGCCTGTAAAGCCTCAACTCAAAAAAGTTAGGGCAGTGTCATTCCGCCCGGAAACGTTGGCAGGAGTGGCCCGTCGAGGCATGCAAAGGCCGCTCAGTCGCTCCAAGCCAGGAACCGCGACACAGCCACTTTTCCCCGCATTTTTCGGCCAACAAGTTGACCTGTCTTGAACCAGGAACTTGAAAGAGTCATCACTATGCCGTTCCTTCGCCAAGTCGGTGAAGTTTCAGTGAGGTGGCCCAATACCTGCAGCGTCTTCATCAACGAAGCCCAGAGAGGGCTTTCCAAAAGGGTGGAAGTGTGTGTTTGGGCCTGGGACGGCCTACGCCTTGGCCACTTGGCCATTCGGGGAGCTTCTGAGCTTCTGAAAAACCCTGTTTGAAATGCTCTCGGCCGAGAGAACTTCAGCATGACAAGTTGGCAGCGAAACTCTGCCCATGCTATGCTGGTGATCATGATTGATCATGTGCTCACTACGTTCGATAGTTTTAAGGGTCGTGTGGGTGGCAATAAATTCTGTGCCCGATGGACAAATGGGCACTTGAACGCCGCCCGATTGGCATGTCGGATGTGACCCTAGCCATATTTTCATGGCAAGTGCAAAAGCATCGCAAAGCCATCCCCGAAAAGCAGGCCTTGTGACTCTCGCAAGGACTCCACAGCGCTCCGATTGCATCCGCTCGAGTCGCCTCCAGAATTCAAAAGCATGCAGCAGGCCGAGCGGGCCTTGTATGTCAATATCGTCAATTTGCTTATACCACCAGTTTACAGCCTGCCGGTTCCAATCATCACTTTGTCGATCACAGGTTCTGGCAACGTTAGCAGCAAGATCCGCAGGATGACACCGAAACAATGGGCAAAGTGCTCTCATTGCTCTCTCGGATTTCGCTGTTGCATGCTTAGGCAGTCTTCTAGGCAGTGGTTGCGGCCAATAGTGTGTGTGCGATTGATCGCATGCATGACAAGACTGCAACGTGCAAGGGTACCGCAGAGTTGCAGAGTGCAGGTTACCACACGGAATTTCGGCCGCAGGTACCTGTTCTCCGTTCATGGTGTCAGTGGTGTACTTTCAGTTCTGGCCGGCAGCATTTGGACCACGGCTCCTGTTCTGCAACGACGGGAAAGCATGCACAGACAATGCGCCTTGTATCATGAGCCAGCATGTTTGTGATTGCAACATCACTGGCTTAAGGTCCGAATGGCCAAGGGTATCCGCCAAGCCAGCCACGCAGAAGTGGTGTTCAATGTTATCTTGAGTGCTCTGATCTTGATTACCGGCATCATGCGGGTCAGGCCGAGCTTTGTGACCTTCCGTTGCGGTTTCGATGAAGTCAACACCGAATTGTAATTAGTAATGTCGTCATAGCTAGACTGCCTGGCCAGGACGATTCGAAATCAGGACCTTGTCTTGAAATTTTGGGTCGGCATTTCCATCCAAATCTTTGCGCTGTGTCAAGTGTTGGAAGCACCTCTCCTTGGTTGGATTCCATATTCGATCTTTGGCAACTGGATCAGCCGTCTATGGGGCATCCTTTCAGTGTACTTCTATGTGAAATGGCTGATGCAGATCAAGAAGTGGAACGATGCCTTCGAAACGAAAAGTGATCAGATGGTGGCTCGGATTTTTCACCCTTTAATGGCACCGGCAATGGGCTCCGTTGTGGTGATGGAGGTGGTGACGTTTGCCCGGACCTGAGAGAATCCAAGACATTCAACGAGATCCAATTTTTCTTGATCGCTTTGGTCAATAAACTTGGTGTTGCAGCCCACACATGCTGCATGTTCGGTGCAGGTAGCCCCATCTCATCTAAGGCAGCAAAGACAACCCAATAACCAGCAGCCTGGAGAAAGCATGGACAATGGCCAATGGCCAATGGACATACAAGCAACCATAGCTAGGTTAATGTTGCCCAGCTTAATAGTTTTCCCCCCCCCCCCCCCTCCATCCCCAAGCAAATCTGGGACCCTCTATAAAGAAATGCCACCGACACCCCCGAAGCACATTTAGGGCGGGAAGCTCGAAGCTGAAGCCATGCCTTTAAGCCCTGAAACCTTTACGGCCAAAAGGCTTGAAGCTGTCTAGCCTTCCAGGGCTGAGGCCATGGCCCTTAAAACCTGAAGCTTTTCGGGCCAAAAGACTTGTGGTCACAGCGAGTGCCCTAAACAAACCCACTACAGAATCGGGCTGGCCCGCGGGCTATCTATCACGAAATTTGTTGGGGCCTTATCTCGTAGTGAAATCCAATAAGGGTTTAGATTGAACTGGATGGGCTTAGCTTTCTGGATTCTCCGGGTTCGGGCTCTAGAGCCCAGGGGCCCGTAAGGCTTGGACCTTTAGACCACAAATCCCGAGAAAGGTGATTGATTGTAGTGGGTGACCCCGACAAAAAGAGTTTGCAAAATCATTTTGTAAACTTGTGATTACACCACAAAAGCCAGTGCAACATGAGAGTAAAGACAAGACTCGTGTCATTGTGTCTCTTTGTCACTGCCGCTGATGCCTTTTCTGGGGATTCTCGTGTTGGAAGCACTCCCTGCAATCTTGGGTCTTCGAAACATGAGCGGGGGCAACGTGTACCGATTTGTACCGATTTGTACCGGCTGGTACCAACTCATGCTTCGACGATCCGAGGTCCAAGATTACTGAGGGGTATCGGGGCACATGTGAAAGTTTAGATCGTTTCTCGTTATGCTAATTGAGTTGGTCACCATTTCGGTATCCTTCTTGAGTAGGTAAACATTTGGGCAATTTGATGAATAAAGTTGGTTGAAGTAGGGTCTGAATTGCACTCGGTTCGCCCCATTGTTGCATGTCACATAATTCGGCTTGTAATGAATATGCATAATTGCTGGGGCGGGAGCAAGAGAATGAATTCAGTTCATGAACCTATACTTATATCAATGCTTCTTAAAACGACAGGTTCCCCAAGTATATGTTAGTAGCGGTAGTAACTCGACCCGACGAACACAGCTATAGGTCGATCACGTTTCCAAAGTATATTGACAAGATGCTAATGGCCGGGAGTATTGGAAGAGAATGAAGGACTGCTACTGGGACACCTGATGCGCCGAACGAGCTTCGGCCCTTGAGACGAAACCCTCAAAGCCCGGCATCTGATTTGACTAAATTTGACTATCGTTATGTTTGCCGAGAATAATGCATTTGAAGCCCTGAACCCCCGTTAGGAACATGAGAGGCTTAACCAATACAGATAGCTGCAATGATGTTAAACAAATCAATCCAGCAATTTACGGTTTTTGAGGAACTAATAACTTCAGAGTATTACTCTATACGTTCTATGTATTAAACGGATGAAAGTAGTATTCTTGTTGTAGGCCATTAGTTTTGCAAATCAATCATCGATGTCGCCGCATAAAATGCAACCAAGACTCAGTCGACTTAAATTTGAAGCGCCTCCTCAAAAAGTTAAATGATTATAGCTTTTGTATAATATGTATATTCTTCAGCCAATCTGAATCAATTTCTGAACTGGGGGGTGAACCGAATGTCACTGACAGTCTGACTCGACGACCGCAACCATTGCATTTCGTATCCGTCTAGTAAACGGGCCAGGCGCAAATAAAGCTGCAGACTAGACTTGGTATGGTGAGGCAGTGGACAGCCTAAAAGTAGTTTGGTTAAAACTTTTGTGTGGCTCCAAAGAATATTTAACATCAATCACAAACTTAAATCAGCGAACCCAAAGATGTCAAATGGGGCTAGCCTGACTCCTGCAGCTATATGTTGCCGTACATCTGTTTTCAAGCACTTTGGTCTCAGGGGTAGGCTTGGGAACCTTCGCCACAGTAGAACCGCTGACTTCGTCACAAGGGTTTTTGCCACTGTAGAGCCGCGAATTTCCTCTTACGGTCATGTAGTATGCTTGCGGTGTTTTTGTTTGGGGGAGGAGTGAGCCGGGGGAATGGGGGTGGGACGGACGTGCCAGTTGTCTCGTAACCGTAAAAAGTGCGGATAACCGGGGAGAGGATAAAGCAAGTGTGGTACTGGCTTCGAACTACTCTACCTGGCATTCCTTGGCTGCCTCGGCTGAGGTTGTAGCAGCTTAGTTTTGTTCATGACAATATATAATCATGTATTTGCATTCGACGGGTCACCTTCGAACAACAAAGTGTCTAGGCTCATGCACAAAAGGTTGTTTTAAAACGTGACGGCTTGTGTGGAATGGTGCGTTTGTGCGTGCACACTGGGGGAATCTATTCCAAACGAAATTTTCGAATAAGCATGAGCTTACCTTAACATCATTTGAAGTTGCATCCCTGCGTGTGCACGATTGCTTTTTGTGCATGCACATGGCCGAAAGCCATTTCGACCGTCAACCTGTTTAGTGTAGCGCAGCTAGACCAACCAGCAGTCAGTTCCTTTTCCCGAGCTCGTGCGGGCCTCACGCAAGCTCGCGCGAGCCTCGCATGGACCCTCGTGTCAACATACTATAACACGACGATAGTGTGAATTCTACGGCCTACGTGGTGTTGATTTGATACATGAACGAGATTTTGGAGGTTCTCCGGACATAGTTTCTCAAAAAGCTTTGCGCGCGACGACAGAAACTTCAACCCCCAGTTGCAAGTTTGCAAGAATGCGCCGCGGACCGGGTGCACAATGGTGCACATTCGGGAACTGGGTTCGAGACAATGTTTATGGCTCGACTTCACTCGGCTTGTCGTGACTTCGCGCTTTTCCCGCGTGACAAGGCAGTGTCGCGACTTCGTGTGCGAGCGGTATAATACCGCTATAGATAGGTTTTCACCTGTTGCCGGTTTACCAACTCCTGTACATGAACGTTCGTCGAGGTCATCACAAGCATGCTAGCAGACAACGTGCCAACTCGAGTGCTTACGCAATGCCCAATATCATTCGCCCACAAGCGAGCCAAAGAACGTGGTCGCACTTCATTTGCCGCTTCACTTGCGATGGCGCTTCCAATTCAAACATTCGTGAGTCGGTTATCCGCGTGCTTCAGACAACCATCCACCCAAAGACCCCAAACCTTCAAATGGCTGCGTAGCTTTCAGGCATTCTGTGCCGATTGTTTCATTCAGCAAGCTCTTCTCGTGCACGGTCAGAGAGAGCTCACCTCGCGTGAATGCTGACCGAGGTTAACTTTGTGGAGCTCCATTTCAGCTTGGTCAGCAGGCGCCGTGTTCAACAGTTTTTTTTTTTTCGGGCAATGGTCGAAGGTTAGGAAAGTTGAAGTGTGCAGACATTTGCACGCCACGAATTGTTTTCAGAATGCCGGGAAGTTCCTCCTCTACATATCTGATAGGCAAATGAAACTGTTGCGAGCTAGCAGCAAAACGGACCCTGATGCATGTAGTAACCTTCTCATGGTTTGTTCGCAACATCATGACGGAAAGGTGCTACAGATTGCTGTCCCATCACAAGTTTCGGTGATCTACGAATTGATCATCATATGCCGTTTCTACGTAGAGGAGGGAAGTTAATCAATGAAGGAAGGGGAAGGCAATCGGGGAAGGCAAGGAAGGAATGAAGAAGGGAAGGGAAGGACGGAAAGACGTGAAGGAAAGTAGTAAGTAGGGAAGGAAGCATTCAAACACATGAACAGATTTGCCTGGGTTGCTATAAGTTCCAAATGACAACATACGAAAGCCCATACAAACATGAACATCTTGCACTTCCATGCATGCAATCTTCTGAAATGCTTGGAAACGCTTCGGAGCAAATGCTGTGCCAGAAGACTCTTCTTGTATTCATCTTTCGATCGGCTTATGAAGGAAGGAAGATTCCCAGGCTGGTTTGGATTTGTATATAGAGTCGGGATTGGGGCAGTTTGGGGTTCATGGTTTCGAGCCGGTTTTGGGGAGTTTGGGTTCGCGCCTGAATCGCAGACCTTTAGGGGTCAGTGGTTCAGCGTGACGGTGTCGTTGCTTCTCCTTTTTGAGAGCGTGATAGCGTTGTTGCTTCTAATTTTTTAGAGCGGACTACTGTTTTAGAGCGGACCATGCTATTCCTGGATTAGCACGTTGCGAGTGCCCAGATTGCAAAGACACCGCGTTTCTAGGGCTTGCCTTACTAGTATGCCCGATGCATCACCCCAGCTGGCCGAACATGTTGCAAACGCGGGCGGGGTCTGCATTCCAGTCCAATCGAAACAAGAAGTCAAAGACAGCAGATGTCAGAGCCTCAAGAGCCAATAACACTTTATAATGACACCCCAAGTGGACAAAGCCCTGAAATGCAGTCGGCCGGCTCGGAGGTACTGTTAGAATAACATGCGGGCAGGAAATCGATGTTTTCCGATTCACATCCACAGGTTTCCTCTAAACGTCTGCAGGAAAACCATGATTCCCTACGAAGACAACATGTAACATACAGGTTGTCATCGTAAAGATCTAGGGTAGTTTTGCTATTAAAAACCTGAGGAAATGGATGTTTCCTCCGGAAATTACAAGGACGCCGGCCAAACACGGCAGCTCTACGCCGTCTGGTTGGGCTGTCTAGCTTTCAGACATGTTTTGGATGATCAGTCGTCTCCCTCCAGATTGCGGCTCCTCCAATTCCTCCATTGCAATAGAAGCGCTTGCATACGATTGCTGAAACTGTGAAAACAACACTCAAGGACGGCCTGGGTTTGGGTTTCAAGCAATAGCTTCAATGGCGTGCAAATCTAGATCAGTTGCTGGCAGGCTCTGTATTGATGTTCATCTCGGGCACACCTTTTGATTGACAGGTGCGCTGCAGCACAAGCCCTGTTCCTCGATTCACAGCTCGTCTCACTCGCTGTCAACAACGTTGCGCAGTTCACCTTGACGCTGGCAAACCAGAAGAAGGCACAACCGCTTTCTTCCCGTGCTTGAACACTTGTGCTGAATGTTCTTGGCTTCGGCAGGAGTAGCGGACAGATGCTAGTCTGGCACGTCTGTAGTCCTGAGGTCGCCAACATCCAGACCTTGTTCTATGTGCTTGGAGCCATTGGTACCGTCCAATTTGCATTGCTCATGTGGGTACACCTGAAGCACTTAGGGCTAGCAGCCCTGAATCCACTGCTCATGATTCCGCTTGTGTGTCGCGGCGCATGAAAAAGCTAATCGAAGGCTGCAGCATCCACGAATCCGAAAAGACTGATTTCTCCGCCTCTTGTATTCGACCCAACATTCTCGCCGCACCTGGGCAAGAGTCGGCACCGCTCCACACATGCAGCGCGGTAACACCAACAAGGGCCCATACAGCCGTAAGCCCTGACGATGCAACCCATGTTGACACAGCGTGTTGACCACATTGTTGGAGAATTTCGCGTTCAAAGTATCAACAGCTTGGCCACGCAGTCTGATATATCAATATATATATATATATATACGTATATATTTGTGTCTATATATATATATGTATATGTTTATATTTATTTATTCATGTGTTTTTGTATAAAGAGGACCTCTTCAAAGGTCTCTTTTCAGGGCGGCAATGATCACGGCGAGAACTCCCCCAAAGTTGTAGCCTCACATCCCTCGCAGTGCCTCATCATCATCACCACCACCACAGTCATCAGATGCCCGGGCTTGAGCATGATCTCTTGAGCAAATGTCAAGCGGCATGAGCTTTTGCTTCGCGCATGGCGAAGGCGAACAATTTGATATTTGGCACACCTCTGATCTGTGTGGCAAGTTATCGGACAATCCAAGCACCGGTTTTCAATTGCCTGGTTTCAGTCAACCCTTCCTTTTACTTTTCAAGCCTCATCTGGCACTATTGTTCACCATCTGTTCCTACAGTCGACAGGAATCTGCAGGCATGTGAGGCCCGATGCCCTGGGCCTGGCGAAAGGATCTCACGTGTTGTGCATGCTAGTCGCTGGAGATCGTGACAAATCGTGGCTGCGATCCTTGGTAATGGGCGTATCGGTTCAAGCTAATCTGCCGCATGAGCGTCCCGCATCAGCCAATTCTCGAGCTCGATGTGTGCAACATGGATGTTTGGTGCAGAGTACAGTCGTCTGCTTCACGTTGGTACCAGTAGAACAGAGGTTCCATGCTTGTCCACGCCATGCCACATCCGGATTGCCAACAGTGCTGTGCTTATGAGATCGTATGACTTTCATGGCAGCTGACTGCCCTCGTGATCCCATGTGTACCATGAGAGCACGACAGTTGCATTGGGAAGAGTATGGGTCGCTGACCATGCGCGCCGCCTTGCTTATGGTGCTTGCTTGCCGGATCTATGTCTGGTACTTCCCTGCAGGCTGGAAGTGTAAACTGATGGCTGCCCTTGAGAACTTTGAGTGTTCCTCGCGTGCGGAGTTGCGAGACAACGTGCCTGCGTCAGGTTTTTGTGGCTTGAGAGGACGAGGCTGGATTTCTTTCGCAAGCTCCCAGCTAGTAGTTGGTGCTGACAAACCAAGCAAAAGTAGGTTTGTATTCGGTGCTGTTGCGGCAGGTGACCGAACACGACCGCGATTAGCGCGTCAAAGCTGGGGAGATGAAGACGCAGACGAGCCGCTTGAGCAGAACTTGCAAATGCTTTGCCAGAAATCGTGAATTAACCCACGGGAAGGGGGGGAGGGGAAAACCCATGAATCCAGAAGTTAAAAAGAATTAAATCCTGATTTAATTGTTGCTTCTGGGTTGGGTTTTGACCTACCTCGACATACCTTATCCCTACAAAAACACAATTAAATCGTGATTTAATTGTGTTTCTTTGCGTTTGACTGGAAGACAATTAAATCGTGAGTTAATGGTGCAGCAAAGACTTGCGCTAATTGGTACCTGTTTGCACCATTAAATCATGATTTAATTGCACTATTATTATTGCTATTACTATTAGTCTTATTATTACTATTACTATTAGTCTTATTATTCCTATTACGATTAGTCTTATTATTACTATTACTATTAGTCTTATTATTATTATTATTAATATTAGTATTATTATTACTATTACTATTATTATTCCTATGATTATTATGTTTACTACTGTTATTATCCTTATTCTTCTTCTTATTATTATTTTCTTATTACTATTACTATTACTATTACTATAACTATTGCTATTTTTATTACTATTACTATTACTATTACTATTTTTATTACTATTACTATTACTATTACGATTACTATTTCTATTACTATTACCATTACTATTACTATTACTATTGCTATTGCTATTGCTGTTGCTGTTGCTATTGCTATTATTATTATTCTTCTTCTTATTGTTACTACTATTATTATTATTACTACTACTATTTTTATTTTCCTATTATTATCATTATTATTATTACTATTACTATTTCTATTACTATTACTATTCTTCTTCTTCTTATTGTTATTACTATTACTTTAGGGGGAACAATTAAATCGTGATTTAATTGTTGAAAGGTAGGGGGGAACAATTAAATCGTGATTTAATTGTTTCTGCGGGTTGGGATCGTCTAGCAGAAACAATTAAATCCTGATTTAATTGTTTTCCTTGAGAAGCTTGCCGGCATGGCATGCTGCGTCGCGCGACGTCAACAGGCAATTAAATCGAGAGTTAATTGTGCTGGACCTAAGGGGCGTCGAGCCGGCCCGATGCCGGTCAATTAACTTCAGAGTTAATTTTCCTTAACTCTTGGATTCACTGTCTTCCGGGGGGAGGGGAGGAGCGGACAAGAGAGGGAAGGGGAATTGTTTCTTGGGGGGAGGGGGGCGGGCGGACATTGAACTCCCTAACCTAGGACATCCTAACACACAAGAAGCCCTTCTGAACGCGGCCAAGCTCTTCTCTTTTCTCTTGTCATATCTTGTCATGCAGATAATCGACCCCATGCTTTCTTGCTCCTCTTCAGCTTACCCTGCCTGCACCACCACTCGAAAACCATGCCTCCCCATTTAACCTCCCCATTTAACACATAACCGTCTATAGCCAAGAATTGTTGACCATTGACTGCCAAGGAGCAATTCATCGAAGAAGCATTCTATCTTTCTTGGGGGTTCCGTGCGTTCTCTCGTTTCACTTCGTTCGCAAGCTCATTCTTTCACTTCGTGCTAGCTTTTATTAATGTGAATGAGTGAATCTATGAGCGAATGAGCCAGAGAACGATATGTTGAATGTACGGGCTAGTGAGGATATTAATATACGAGAACGTTGTGTGCGCGAACTCTTTATTTTAGTTCGCGCGTTGGTTTCTATCACACACTATAATATTAAAAAGGCGCGGGCTTCCCGTAATACTGTAATGTGTTCTCTTCACACTATAATATAAAGGGAGTGAGTGAGCCTGGTTAATAATATGATTATGGTGAGAAATATAATATACTAAGTACTGGCCCGTGGAAATATTTATTAATTAAGAGCGCGAAAATAATCCTTTAGTTCTCGTTTCGTTCGCAAACTCACTAATTTCCTGCGATCGTTCGTTCGACTCACTCTCTTATATCTTGGTTCATATGCTCTCTACATATTCTTACTACTGAAAGACAATTCAATTTCTACTTACCACTACTACTACTACTTCTTCTTCTACTACTACTGCTACCAGCACTACGACGAGCACTCCAAGAGCACCGGTGCGAACCAACTGTCCTCCGCGCATCTCCGTGTGTACTACTCCCCATCTTTTCACTACTGTCGATTCGACTTCTTAGTAGAAAACTCTGCCAGCAGCATGAGCGCATGGGACCAAGGCTAAGAAAGCTATTTTAAGCACCATGAAATCCAAAGTTCCCTACAGCCGGTGTACGACGCAAACCCGTAAACAAAAAGACGGCGATGCTGACAAGTGCGTCACTGCCATGTTCGGGAGCACGATGTGCGCTACGGCATGCGCACGGGACTGTGCTGAGGGTGCTATGAAAACACGAGCGAAATGTTGCGACGTGCCGACAATCACGAGACAAAGAAACCGATTTCGAGCCAATGTCCACCGGCCACGGCAACCCGCTTTAAGATTGCCTTGCACGCTTAAAGCCATAAATAAGTCTTGTTCTGCTGTGGACATGGCATGGACAGGCTGCTGGGTATCAAAGCCAAGAAGAAGGATAATCCCTTTGACATCTTGGGGTTGCCTCGCAGCTCGGACCAGGCACGTCCAAAGCAGTTTGACATGGTATGAGATGGTCTGAGCAATTGAGTTTGACATCTGAAGGAAAGTGTGCGACCTGCCTTCCGGAAGCTCGCCGGCGCTCTTCATCCCGACGTGCCAGGCGAGTCGATCTCAGTGGATGACCACGTTATCTCCAGAGCGTGAATTGTGAGTATTCATACACCATCATACAACAACTATATGCATTCTAATTACTCAGCACCAAGCAGCATGCCGCCAGGGACAGGCGATGCCACTGCTTTCCGCAAACTCCTGTGGGTGCGCCCCACCTGGTTGGCCAAGCTGGGCCGAAGACAAAATGACGAGCCTCAATTTTCAATTTACAGCCGTTTGCTCTCAACCACATATCGTCAGGCCTACAGGGAGCTCTCCTCACCTGGCTGGTGACCGGGGGAGCTGTTGTTTGCACATGTATATAGATGTATACGTATATACATGTACAAATCGATGCAGAAGTCTGCGACATGTTGCGATCAGTTCTGTGACTTGTGTTGAAGTAAACGGGAAGAAGAGGCGACGTTGGTCCCGACAGCGCGCCGTGGACTTCAATGAGGACGGTTCCCATCCTTTCAACATTCTGCAAAGATGTAAAACATTATACAAATAGTAACATCATGATCACAAGGAGGTGAGAGCAGGCAGGTCGTGGAGTGGACCAAGTGGTTTCTCGGAGAGGTGAGGCTGCCAGGCGTCGATCTGGAGGACTTGTTCCAGGCCCCGCATGCATTGCCCCTTTGGAGCGTACCTTCAGATTTCGTCATCGTCTGATCCCGAACACTTGAGGACATCCAGGGAAACAGAACGAACTTGACAGAATTGGAAGGTTCAAGCGGCTCAAACGTAGACGTAGATAGACACGTAGCAGCCATGGCACCAGTGGATGAGGCAAGGATGTGCCCTCCGCGCGTGTCTTGCATTGTGTTTGGCCTTTCGCGTTGTCTGGCAGCGTTGTCCTTTGCACAAGTGCCCGCTCACGAGACCCTGTGCACGAGTGCTTGCAGAGTCTTAGCATGCAGCATGTGGCGGCAAACCCTGCAGATTGCCTGCGCATTCGCCAACATGATGCCTGTCACAGGAAGAAGCAAAGATGTGGCAGGCGGTGGCCTTCCGTGGTGCAGTGGACAAGGGCGACTTGGAGGAGGTCAATGTTGCCCGTCTCAGTTTGTAAGAAAAGGTTCTCTTGTTTGAGTCGCTTCGTTGAGTCGCTTCGTAGAGTCGCTTCGTAATCGCTCCTCGTGCTCTGAAGGAGATGTTAGAGAACGGGTCCAACCCCAACTACAAGATGCCCGATGGATCCAACTGGACTGTCCTTATGCTTGCAGCGAACGGGGGTCATGAAGAGCTCGTCACGAAGTTTACGAAGGGTGGCAAAGGGGTAAGCGATAAGGATCCGCAGGGCTTCCAAGCCATCATGCTTGCTGCGATCAAGGGCCATGCCAACGTTTGCCGATCTCTGCTAGAGAAGAAGGCCGATGCAAACGCTTGCAACGAAGATGGCGAAACACCACTCATGATGGCGGCAGCTATGGGCCACCAGGAGCTGGTGCGGCTTCTGTTGGATGCAGGGGCGGATGCAAACTGCCAGGACAAGAACTCCATGAGCGCCCTGAAGAAGGCGAGCCGGCGGAGCCGGCCGGGAACCGGCGCGTATACAAGATAAGCAAACACAAACGAAAAGTAACGATGTTTCTTCAGATGGTTGAATTGCATGGTATTGAATGTTTTTGTTTGATATATGGCTTTTTGCAAGTCTTAGCCAGAGGCCAGCCGATGGGGCCATGTTGGCTGTCTCAAGACCCTACTGGCTGAGCTGCCCAATTTGGACCTGAGAGAGATGAAGCACTGTCTCCTCTTCGGCAAGCTCTACGGACATCCGGAGGCCCAAGCATTGCGTTTACTGAAGTTTATTGGTACACTCTTGGAGTGGTGTCTGTGGCGTCTGTGGTGTGCAGGTGGTGGCAGAGATCCAGAAGGTATTGGCGCCACCGGAGGACGAAGTGGAAGAAGAGGTCTCCCCAGCCTCCCCAGCCTCTCCAACCTCTCCAACCTCTCCAGTTTCCCCACTCTCTCCATGAGAGCATTACATTGACATCTCACCTGATGCACGCGGGCTCGCTGAGCTCGGAATCAACAGCACTTGGAGTTTCACCTGTTGCACCAAAAGAAAGGAAGGGCATGATTGCACAGGTGCATGATGGGGCATGGCAACCCCAATCGTGCTTGAAACGTGAACTGCCACGAAAACATCCGCCGTAGCCGTTTCAGGATGCTGTGGACGCAGGACCTGAGCTGGATGACTGGGAGGCCGAGTCCGCTGATGTTGATGCATGTAGCGATGCATGGCGCATCGCAGAGACTGCCAGTGCACGCAACAGGAGCAGTACAGAAAGAGGCAGGTGGAGAAGGAGAAGAAGGTGTCCAATCCCCTGAGGCCACCTGCTGACCTGCGACCTTTCCATTCGTCAGGTGCAGCAAACCCAGACAACGTTGGTCAAGCGCATCCTGGAAGGCACCTACGAGGCGCATAATTCGGCACCGGCAGCATTAGCAGACATTGGCGCAGTTTGAAAATGTCCCAAATACATGCAAATATACACACGTATATCTATATACATATATACATATATATATATATCTCATACGCATATATGAAGCAGGGTTTATATTTCTGTTTTTGGTGAGTGTATATAAGGTTCCTTTTTAATATTGGTGAGTGTGTATACCTGGTGTCCTTTTGGGGGTACAAGAAATATATACCCTACTTCATATAGAGTTCATGTTGAGTTCACTCGGAAAATGCTTTCTGACCCTGAGCCTCCACCTAGTCTGCACCTTCGGATGGTTGCAGGAGCAAGGCCGGAACCATGGACGGCCAGTTTTCCGCAAGTCCCTGGGGCAAGGCGCGGGTAGCCGGAACTCAGCCAGAGGAGTTCAGAAAGTTTAGGATATTCTTGGATAGTGCAGGCGAGAGCGTTGCCGTCTACTACTGGGACGAAAAGGATCCCAGCCGCACAGACAAGCTGCGCAATGCTTCGCAATGCTTCACAATGCTTCTGCTTCGTTCACATGTTCAATGCGCACAGCGCTCACAGCTCTCAGACCTCAGTCAAGGATGGAGCTGACTGCAGCTTGGAGATTTGGAGATTCAATTTTGATGGCCTTCGAACCAGTAGCTATGCAAATTTTGCCAATGTATGAGCTGTAAGGTGACGGATGGTGGATAGGAGCAGAAGTGGGTGGCGACATGGTGAAGAGCTGAGGATAGCTGAGGTGTGGTGATGTGTGGCGGTGGCAGGGTCATGTGGACATTCGCAAAAGGTCGTACACGCCTCAATCACAGTTGCCCCCAGGTCTTTGCCTTCAATATCAATCAGGCGTCCATGTTCCCACCGGCGAGTGGATGGAGGTTTCCGCTTCGCGGCCCAGTCGACCATTCGCTCCGCATTGTGCTAGGCCAGCTCTGCGGCAGTGTGTTGTGAAAGTGTTATGAAGCATGTGAAGCCCGCAGCATGCTGACAGGGCAGAACCGTTCCTTGCAGATCCAGTTCGGTGCTTGAGCTGGTCCTCAGATGTCATGAAGGACCGTAGGTCATCAGAGAAGCTTCAGTGCCGACAGGGATTCCGAAATCCTTGAACAAGGGTCACCGTTCAGTGCCAGGGTTTTGTCTGCAACCAGCCCAAGTGTGAGGCAGGAGCTCTACAAGCACAGCCACAGCAACGACGACTCGATCACACCAGGGTTCAAGGATTCAGTAGCAGGTGCGCAACCTGTTTCAAGTTTCACCTTCGACGTGCCAGACTCGAGACACGCCAACACTCAGGGCAATTTCGGAGAGACACTCTGGGCGACTGTGCAGACAGTGTGCGAACCATTGCACGTTCATACGACATTCTTACAGCGTAGGTTTTCGTTGCAGGACACTTGGCTGACAGCACAGCTAGGTGAAGCCACCAAGCCCTGGGAAGAGTCGGGAAGGTGGGCGGGACTCGTCAGCCATGGCCGCCCGGAACTGACAACTTCCAGAAGCAGCTGTAAAATGCTTTGATGAGTACAAATTCGCTGCTTGTGTGCTATGCCTGCTGGGTAGCTTGAGGTCAGCGGCACCAACGGCTTGATGCAAAACGCAGCCTACCAACAAGGTTTCAATTTGCTGCGTCTGTAGACTGTAAGACCCCCGATAGACGTGGAATCCGATTCGGCTTGCTTGAGCCATTCCTGTTCGCACGATTTCATGCAAACACTGCCGCGATAAAAGATTTCGCAAACATTCTGCAACTGCTTTGCCCTCACATTGGACGGTGTTTGCAGGAATCATTCAGCGTATGTGTATACCTGTACAGCAGTGTCGCTACTTCCAGCTTGTGCGGAGCCCGCGGCAGGACCTGTTCCAGTCCATACTGTGACTGTGCCGCGCCGAGTCGTGGTGCCCCTCGTGCCTACTGCCGATGACTGCATGTATTTTGCTTACGTGAAATGCACGACGCTCGATGCCGACCGTCTCAGGCCTTGAATAAAGATGTCCTTTGATTGGCCAGGTGACTTCGCCAAGAGCACCTTGCTGGATGTCGGGTTCTGTACGTCAAAGCATTACATCCCCGGCGCTGCCAGTGCATCAAGGTGCGTCTCTAGACTCTTGCAGTCAACTTCATCCGGATTTTGTGGGGAGAGAGCAGGGATGCAGCTTGTAGTAGTGGCAGGTCCTTTGCTGGCCCCGACAGTCCAGGCTGATCCTTCAAAAAGAGAACAGACGTAGAACAGACGTAGAACAGCTACCCAACCACCATTCCCCATGCTTGGGTGACAGGTCCGGGCTGCTGGAGTCTCCACGAAGGCAAGAGGCTCAACTTACTCGTCAGACCGACCAGTGCAAAGGTGGTTCGCGGATGTGTGAAGCACCCGGTTCATGATGCATGCTCAGATTTGTTGTTGTCGCTGCTGTGTTGGTTGAGCCGTAGAATGCGCACCCGTCAAATTCCTTGTAAAAGGACAGGGGCCGCCCCGCGAAGGGGCAGTCCCGCGATGTGTGGGACGGCTTCTTGCTGTTGTTGTTGTTGTTGTTGTTGTTGTTGTTGTTGTTGTTGTTGTTGTTGTTGTTGTTGTGGTTGTTGTGGTTGTTGTGGTTGAAACGTCCCCCGCGAAGAGCAGAGCCCGCTCTCTAAGTGTTCAATACAATGATTCGTTGTTGTTGGTCTAGGCGTTAGGCTTTCTTAGTCCTGGATTGAGGCACCAAGTGGCACTGTCACTGCCAGCGGCATGTTGGCGCGAGGGTGGCCCCAGCTGCGACCGCTCTGTGATGATGTTTGCATGGTGAAGTTCGCGCAAGGCTCTGCCGCCAAAGCACCGGGGACAACCTGGCCAACTACTTCAACCATGGCCGAAGGTGTACATCCTGAACGCATTAGATGATAATTTGTAATCATCATTAGCAGTAGCAGCCGTTGCCAGAGCTATGGGCAGCATAGAGGCGTGTCACGGAACCGCCACCGAAAGTGGCGGAAAGAAGCCCTCGAAGCCCTGGGCGCCGGGAACATGGTGTGACGTCGCTTTGCCCGGAGGCAGGTAGCAGCGCAGGGAGCCGAGGCAAGGTGATATGAAATGGGCAAGGCAAGGCTCCTGAATCAAATCGTCACTATGAGGTCGAGGTGCCACTTCAGCCAGCGTCCCCACGGGGCGCTGTTCAGGCACGCTGCCTTTTTGAGCCTGGTTGCGTCGAAAGACGTATGTGCATTACAAAGTCTGTACAAAACCGTACTCCAGCTCGGAGGCGTGGGGCCAGGTGGAGGCCCCCGGCCTCACACGGCGGCCAACCCGGCTCCATCACGGGTGCCGGGCCAATCCTTTCATGTGTAGGCACATGTGCAACAAAGTGTGCATATATGTACTCTATATGTATGTATATACATGCTTACATATGTGTGCATATATTCACATGATCTCACAACCGCTTAAATTTGGCAAATATTGGCAATCAAAAATGTTTTTCTTCGAGTGGCTCAGCTTCTCCAGCATGCAGGCCCCGGAAAATTTCGCACTCAAAATCCGCAAATGGGCCATATGCTGGATCCAGTAGTCCCTGGTTTGTCGAAACTAAAATTGAATTCCTGTCCATGTAGACTGCTTTGATCATTCTGCCGAAATCTCTCTTGCGGTGTGTTTCTCAAGAAATTTAGAGGTGGACCTCGATCGTTAAACATGCACACAGTACTCTTTGTGGCTGCTGTCTCTCATTCGTGAGCTGGCGCTTTTGCTGCACGCCCTAGCTGCCTTCTCCTTCTATCTGGGGAGCACTGGAGGCCGAACCCTATGGAGCTGCCGTCGGAGGTCGGATCACATAGGAGGCCGTGAAGCGTCTGACATGTCATGGGTCTCTCGGTGTGAGGTTTGATGCCATTTTATGCAATATATGCAATCTCTCGAAATTTCGGCAGATGCCAGGATGAGTCACGGCGAGGCTCTCCATCTGCAAGAAGCTTGGGACGCGCTCAGGACAGGAACCCCGCTCTTGCGCAACGCCATGCAATGCCGGTCCATCCTGACTGCCTCGCCGGATGTTGTTGGTAGTTTACGCATAGCCCTCTGCAAGCATCTGGATCTTCTATCGGCAGTGTTGACTCGCCCCCTATTAGCTGAGAACATTGGACTCTCAAGAACATGCCTGAGTCTTAGCATCCTGGCAGTTTTCGGACAGGTTCTGCCTTCCAAGGGGCGACAGAGTGCAGATTAACTCGGCTTCGCGCGCTGACTGGCGCAAAGTGTCAGACATCGTAAGAGCAAAAGGCGAGCCGTAGCCAAGGGCAAGCTCAACCTTCGATAAAGAAAAACATCGGGCAGGAAACCGAGCGGATCTAGGATCGCTGCTCCCTTCTTAGAATTCTTGCCTATTCAAATTCTTGCCTGCAGGGAGACTCTGAGTACTTCACCTTGCCGCATCCGGAGCCCTGGCATGCGGAGCCCTGGGAGCGTTGGGAGTCCTCAGCGGGCCCTCTCGAGCGACGCCGCCGGGGCCCGATGTACCTTTGACAGAAGTCTTGCAACCTGTCAAAACTGAGAAAACAGTTTTTTTTGCGTTTGGCCGGCCCAAGTCAAGGCACACCGGCTGAGTGCTGGCGTGAGGAGCAGACCTTACTCTCAGTCGAAGTTGCAAAGCTTTGAGTTGCATGTTCCAGTGTCATTTGTCGCTTGTGACTAGCGACACTTCTACAGTCTACCGAGTCTACTGTCATTCAAGCGAGCAGCAACTGCTACTTCACGACTTGCAGTCTTGCTTGCCAGCCCGGGCTTTTGACAATTTGACGGTTACTTCGAGATCCCAACAGCCCACAACCTTTCCGCCTCTACGCCTCTCCCAGGTCTTGTCTGGATGGAAATCATAGTGAGGGCGAGGCATCAATTGTCTAAGAGTTGTCCATGCAAGGAACGTCAAGAGAATATGTTTTTGGACACCGCATGACCTGCAAGGATGCGCGACGGCCGCGGCCGCGACGCCGCACGCAACAGCAAAGCACAGGCGCAGTTCGCGGGATGCAGCTGCAGGCCCTGGGTGGAACATGCAGGAGTTTTCCAGGGCTTTGCGGAGCTGACACACCCTGCCACCATCTGAGCCACTGCATGGTGTCAGTATGTGTCAGTATTTGTCAGTTGCCTCCCACTTGAATCGCAAGCCCGCCATGCTCACAATGCACAATGCAATTAAACATGCAGCACCAACATTGTCTGCTCAGGGAGGCTACCCAAAACGCATCTGAGACTCGTGACGCACCTCACGGACCCTTTCTCACGGATGCAAGGATTCGCGTACCCGCACGCGCCCACTCCGGTTCACCTGTCATCACAACAAAGGTGCGCTATGGTGCTGCAGCAGCTCTCGGTGTCGTCAAAACGTGGGCCATACTCTGCTACCTCACAGGCTCTTGGACCAGAGCATACCCTCCTTTTTTGCTCCTGGAACTCCGGCGTCGCGAAAATGTGCACAAGCGATGTGCGGAGATGTCGCTCCAAAAGCTCCAAAGTCAACTTCGTACTCGTAGCACACACACACACACCTTTACGAAGGATACGAAGGCAATGAAGGCATTGCATCATTACAAACGCATTGCGGATGTACTTGAACTGGGTCGTCTGGCGTTTGGTTTTTCGGGCCCATGCTGGCATAGACACGTACAACGCAGGTTGGAAGGTTAGCTCTCATAGCTCTCGCATGGCTCTGTCTTAGGTGTAATTAACGGTGTTTTCCCCAGGCCCCCACCCCTCCACCCCCCCAGAAAACAGGAAAGGGGTCCCATTGTTTCCTGGGCTGGGGGGGGGAGGCGGGCCAAAAGGGCTGTGTGCTTTTCCGCTCCTCTTCTCCTCTTCTTGGAACGCTGATGTTTTTTCTCTCCCCAATTTGTTTCTCTATTTGTTTCTCTAATTCTCGAGGGTTTTATTATGCCCTTTTTGGAAGCTTATCATTTCTTGCTGTGCTTGCTTAAGCAAGTCAAAATCGCTGTACTTCTTGTCATCGAGGTCCCACTGGGCTTTTCCTTATTTTAGGGTTTTACTACTGCAAACTCTGGCCTGAATTCCGGCCCCGGAGGGGTGGGCCAGGAGCGAATGATTTGGGCATCGATCCTAGATGCGAAGTAGGAAAAAGTCGCAGTTTTCTGCTGCAGCCTCTAACTCCGAAAGGGGAGAGCACGTGGGCTTACTTAAGACTTAAGCCTTAAGCACACCAAACTCTCTGTGCTTATCGTCATGGTGGGCTTTCCAGTATTTTAGGGGTTTTTTTAACCTCCCAAACTCTAGCCTGAATTCCCGCCCTGTTAAGGGTTAGGTCAGGAGCGAACGATTTGTGCATCGATCCCAGATGCGAAGTAAAAGGGGAATCGCAGTTTTCCGCTGCAGCCTCCAATTCCAAAAAATCCGCTAGCGCGTCGTATAAGTACTTCAGCAATTGAAAATCTCTGTGCTTATCGTCCTCGCGGGCTGGCGATATTTCCATTTTTCCAATAGAAAACCAATAAAAACCAATAGAAAACCAATAAATAGAATCCCATAGACAACCAATAAAAACCAATAGATAACCAATAAAAAACCAATAGAAAACCAACAACAGCCAATAGAAAACCAAGCCTAAACCAATAAAAACCATTGAAAACCAATAAATAGAAACCCATAGAAAACCAATAAAACCAATAGAAAACCCAGTAAAACCCTTTGAAACCAATAGAATTAGAAAACCAATAAAAGCAATAGAAAAGCAATAGGAATCCAATAGAAAACCAATAGTTGTCTGATTTGTTTCCTTTTGTGAAGTGAGCAGGGCCTGGATGCTGTGACGCTCGTCTGGGCGGACTAGATGTTGAGCTTTGACATGCTGTGACATGCCGTGACCTCCGTCGGGATTGTTGGACTCATTTAATATGTCTCCCGCTTGTCTCCGACGGGCAAAGCGTCCACCGCAGAATCTTTGACACTAATTATGAACTGGGCCAGCCCCAGACGTCAGCACGAGGAGAAACCATTGCATTTTTTCGAATGCCGCGAAGGCTGATGTCACGTGGCCCAAAAAGTCATGCTGTTAGGATGATAAACCGGCAGTGTCCTCAGCTGGTAGAATGTGATGTTGTGATAGCAAGTAGCACACGACGTTTGTTTTTTTTGCATTGTTTTTGCATTGTGAGCATTGATGTGCCCCTGACAGTTGGTTGGCCCGGACGTGCTGGAAGAAAACCCTTCAGGGGAGGCAAGGTGCAAATCGGATCAAAAGAGCCTGTCGAAGACCATCTCTATGAAGGAATCGGCCGAGGGCTTTCCCAAAGGCCGACGTGCAAAGGAGAGGCGGCCAGAGCCCAATCGGCAATGTTGCAAGAGATTTTTGCTCTGCGTGCCCAGATGCTGAGGCACCTTTCTCCCAAAGCCGGAGATGGTGGCGGAGATCTTGTCAGATGCTCAGAAAGGACACAGTGGCACGCAAATCACGAAAGCTAGCTCTGTGGAGCTGGCGGGAGTTGTCGTTTACCCATGCACTGGTATTCACTTGTTAAGAAGCTTCCAGGGAAAAAAAGTGTTCCACACCTTAACAGGTCCGAAACCCAAGACTTAAGGTTGGGGGGTGGGGGGGGGGTGGGGGGGGGGTGGGGGGGGGGGGTGGGGGGTGGGGGGGGGTGGGGGGGGGGTGGGGGGGTGGGTGGGGGGGGGGGGGCGGGGGTGGGGGGGGGGGTGGGGGGGGGGGGGGGGGGGCCCCCCCCCCCCCCCCCCCCCCCCTCAACTCATGAAGCATTTTCGAAGCTTAAGGTGGTTGTTGCGTGTGGGATAAGGTAGGGGCGGGGGGGGGCCCCCCCCCCCCTACCACCTTCAGGCCCCCCCCCACCCCCCCACAAGGTCCCCCCAACCCCACCCCAAGGTCCTCCCCCGGCCCCCCTTCGCAGCCGCCGCCGCCGCCACCTGAAGCATGTGCCTGAAATACGGAAAAAGCTGCGCCGGCGGCTCCAAGTCCTGCCGACACCCCCCTGCGGTGACTAGCTTTCGTAGCCCCTTCTCAAGTTAAGAACAGTCTGAATTCAAGACCGTTCCCATCTTGAGGTTGCCTCGTGCGACACTTGTCATACTTGTTTCATGCATCTCTCGGCAAAGAATGCCCAAAGTTTCTTCAGATGTTTGCAGCGCATGGACACACACACACACACATATATATATATATATATATGTATGTATATGCATGGACATACATATATATATATATGTACGTTTACATATTGCACTTTCGCCATGCACCTGCACAATGTTTGAAAGCCATGCGCTTTCCGCTGTCCTGCCAAGGCCCACGGCCTCAAGTCCGCAGTGTCCACAAGTGAGGCGAGGTGCAAGAAGATCTGCTTAGAGGCCACTCCTGGCACGGAGCCTTCGATCGAAAATTGCCGCAAGGACACATTGGGTTTGAAAAGGCGCGGACGGCGCAGCCAGGGAGCCCAGGACCACACCCTCACTTTCTAATTTGCGTCTTGCAACCATCTTGCATCTCATGTTGTCTTTTTTGCCGTGTGGCGCATCCACTTAGCGGTAGTATGGGGTGGATCAGGCAGCGGAAGCCTATTTCGACCTCTCGCAACGAGTTCACAAGGTACAGCACCCTTTCAAAGAGTCGGGTGGGCGCGCTGTGGAAGCCCTGTAGCCTAGATTCAACATGGAAACCGAACAAAAGCAGAACACAGAAGTTGCAAACACTGTCATAGGGAGAACAGCCAAAATCGAGTGGGAGTGATTCTGTGAAGTTGAAGGACATCGCGTCGGTGTCGAGCCTCCATTGCTTCTAGCGCTTCTGGTGACTCTGTCAAGGGAAGGCAACAGGGTTTATCGGGATGTCCTATGGAGAGGCTTGAACACTACGGGCACTACAAATTTATGTTGCCCGAGTTGCATCTTTGCTTTTTAAAAGGTGTTTGAATGTGCAAAGGTTCAATTTGAGTCAATCCTGGTTGTAGTACTGCCCTCTTAAGCCCTTAAACCACAAACCACATCATCCAGCTCCATGCTCTGGCCTGCTCTCGTGGGTGGAAGCGCTTTTCTCAGGCTGTCAATTTTTTCTTTCGCGCTCAGAGAATGGAGCTCACAAGTTGGGACAGCCATGTCCGGCTAAAAAATAACAGTGCCCTCCCCAGAAGGTGCCCACGGCCATCTGGGTCGGGGGGGGGGGGGTTGGAATTTCCTTGGCCAAGACACTATTTCCTGGAGTTGATCTCCCTTGTGAGGAACGATGCTCCCGCAGCCCTGGTCCGTGGGATCCTCTACCCGAGGGTACACGCAAAAAAGATGGATGGGGCAGGCAGGCAGCAACACGGCATAATTTGGTCAAACCTTGGCCAGCTTATTGGCCTGGCAGAGGTTCACGGCACGCCCACCGCCTTCCTCAAGCAGTGTTCCACGTGCTCCATATGGGACGGACAAGGACCTGAAACCAAGGGTGCCGGCGGCTCTCCAGCGGCATTCGGCAAAGTGGCTTCACTGCAGCATACTGCAGCCTTTGTGCGAACGCCCAAAGAGAATCAGGTGCGGCGGCTCCATTCTGCGCCGCCCTTGCCATACGGTTCTGACACGGACGTGCCTCCACCGCCTCACGGCTGATCTTGGAATATCTTTGGAGGCACCTTCAGCAATTTGTCATGTATCCCCCTTTGGCCTGAAGGAGTCCACCTCCGCGTGGCGGAATTCCATTGGGGCTCAGCATCCCCGAGATACCCGAGCCAGGCCCAGCTGCAGCTTCGGTCTCACCGGTCCTGCCACTCAGGTGCCACTGTGCAGTGATGTAGATAGGTCCGGATGCTTCGACTGGGGGCAGTGGCGGCGGCCGCGGCGAGGCACAGCGATTTTCGGATGTCCATGGGCGCAAGAAGGCAACCATGGGGCAGGTTGAAAGCTCTGGCATTTGAGGCGGCTGTAGAACCAGATACCGGTGGCCCCGGGAGGATGTACCGAGCCCAGTCAAAGCACTGCCGTTGCATGACGCCGTCCGCCGTTTCCATGTTTTAGGTCACCGCTGTCTGCGCGGAACTGGCGGCCCGCGCTGGGAAACAGATTGAAGGCGGGTAAAGGGCATCAAAGTTGAGAATCATAGCAATGTAAGTGGCATGAACTGCTGTTGCTGTTGCATGCTGTTGCTGAAAAACGTCCTGCGAAGACTCCTCCTCGAGCCTCTTCAGCAGACGGGCACCGCTTCGGGAAATCCCTGATGTATGACCCCTAGATACACATGCGGCAGATTGCGGCAACACTTGGCAATGCTGGCTCCTCTGTAAACCAGGTCGTCCACGTTCGTTGAGAGGCCGATTGCACATACTGCAATGTTGCCTGGAGCTCTCTCTGACTCTCTCCCTCTCTCTCTCTCTGTCTCTCTCTCCTGGAACGTCTTCCAATTTGCTTTTGTGCAGATGCTAAACCAATTTGTACAAAACGTGCAACTTTAGCTGCTCCGAGTGTCAGGCAGCGACAGCCCAGGCCTTGGAATTCGCATCCTGTGAGTCCATTCGCGCCACTTCAGACATCTTCAGACATCTTCAGACTCTCCCTGCATCTCCCTGCTAAATGGTTCACACCATTGCCGATTCTGTGCTTGCAACTTGCTTGTGCTTTCGCAACTCATAAACTGGGGCCCCACGCGACTCAGCAAGTGCTGACTCATGGTGCACCGTGCTATCACCATGCCATTTCTGTGCCACTGATGCTGGTGTGCCGATTCGCTGGGACGCGTAGTCACTTATTGCCATTTTCTTCAGGTCGAGTAGTCTCCGAGGTGGTGCCCGGCGCTTGCGGAACACTTAGTCCAAAAACAGGGCCTGCATAGCAAGTACGATGCACCTCGAATACGTCGACGCCTCCGCTGCAAAAGGTCTTCAGGTGGAAATCTTGCACCCCAACTCAACCGGAAGCTCTCTGACCAGCCCAGGACCTTGCCAACCACGAGATTTCGCCAAACTCACATACTCGTACAATGAGTGTGTGCAAGTGATTTATTCGGTTCCTGGGCAGGACCTGTTTTCAGCCCAGACCTTCAGGCCACGTTGTGCCAACGACTTTCTCTGCCTGCGACTATCCAAATGAATGCTGCCAAGGCCTCCGGACGAGGTTGAAGGACGCGGCCAAACCTTCCGGTGAATTAGATGAGGCACTGCAGCACTTTACTTAAACGCCTGCATAGATTGCTTGTTGGCTCTCGCAGCATCATGAACGGCGCAGGCCTACAACAAGTGCCTTCAGTCCATCAGCGAGGAGATAGAACAACTTCAGTCCAGGCGAGTACTATGTCCCCACACAGGTCCTAAATTTCTGAGTCCGCAAGCTGTTCAGGTGCTTTCGGATTGAGCGGGAGGTGCGGAAGACGCGCGAAGAGAAGCTCGGCAATATGCGGGGGATGCTGTTGAAACCCCCGCAAAGCCCACTCAAACACTGCACCAGCAGCCTACAATAAAAATCGCAGGAATGGCATGCTCAAGACTTGCCAGCCCCAGGACACAGACTGTTTAGGACTCACAGCACGACACAGCATCTGCGCAATCTGTTGACAAAGTCTTTAAAACTTTAAAACTAGACATGGTACCTGACCAAAAAGCAGACCGAGTGCCTGCAGGAGCTAGCCGACTCCAGCTGAGGACCCACCTTCCGTCTTACTTAGTCTTGTCTCACCATTGCTGGCATTTGACACCTGTCACCAAGACAGCAAAGTCAGGATGATTCCTACTCCCACCCCGACTCATGATGAAAAAGCATCACAGATCATCACGAAGGCAGTTGTTACAGCGTCTGGAAGTCAGGCAGAGAATAGCAGAAACAAGGCACTAGCATCCACAAGCGGCACCTGTGCAGTCAGCAGGGACAGCAGCGGCTCAAAGCAAAAGTATAACGGCCCGTTAATCTCGCATATGCTCGCAATGGCAAATCCTTGTAAACAACTGTGTTATGTAATCATGCTTAGAGTCGGATCATTTGATATCTCTTCTTTACCCATACACAGGCTTCACAACCAATCGAGAACCATTCTAATCGAACTTGTCAAGTTTGTCAAGTGGCAGTCTCTCAAAGGGGTCAAAAGCTGGGCGGCACCAAATGGATGCTACCATCGAAGGCTTTGTAAAAGCCCTTGGAGGTGGTGTCGGTGCGGTTTTCTCGACGACGGTGCTTTACCCCTTGGAGGTAACAAAGACGAAGGCGAATTCATCGGTTCTCCATGTTTTGGCACTTTTTTTCGCCGTTGCGCTCCCGAATTATCTGCGAGTAGTGCTGAGAAATGTAGTGTGATCTGGAGGTGCAAGCCTTCGCAGGCCATGCAACTACAGATGAGGGCTTCGACGAGGAGAAGCACCAGGCAGCAAAGGTGTAATCACAGTGTAATGACTAGTAGTGATGCGTATATTACTGATGTGCAATGATGTGCAATGAGTGGATTGTGCAAGTGCACATCACCCCATCGCATACAAGCAGGGTCTGAGGGTTCCAGGGGGAAGGTGTGACTTCGGTCGAGCCGATTCATCTACGATTCTGGATAGCAAAGAGCGTGTCGCTATGTGTCGCTGCGCATGAGGCCATGGGAAACACTTTCCGTGCCTTGCAGTACACCTGGAAGAAGGAAGGCTTTCAAGCATTGGTGGCCCCGTGGGCGCCTGGTTGGCCGAGTACATGCCTGGACCAACTTGGAACCGAGACATGCCTATGCAATCCACAATTTGCAATCATAAGTATGTTCGCATATGTTCGCCTTGCGGGTTCTTTGGCAGGATTCGTTTATCTTCAACTTTGTGTACTACTACTTCTATGAGGCCTTCATGGCCCTCTGGCGAAGGTTTGTCGGCCGTGTCACATACCGTGCCAACATGCTCATTGCCACGACCGCAGGACGGTAGATCTTTGGGCAAGTTTCTTTGCGATGATCTACGCGGAGATATCTATGAATGATTGTTTTTCTTGAATTGCGGATAAGATGAGGAGTGGATGGAATGTTTTCCAGCATATCGAAGCTCTGCACTTCACATTGAGATGATTCACATGTAGTTGTTTTGGCCGACTTTGCTGTACGAACAGTACGTTCAATTTGATGAATGCTCACAGAATCTCACAGGCATGTGATTTGCGCACTGTACGTGGATACTGCTGTTGCTATCTATTATTCGCGTAAGCTCTGATAACAAGGAGTTTCATGGCCGAAAACATTTTCGAAAATCTGCAAAGCAGGGCCCTGCAAGCAGCCCATCTATTCTTGCACCAACGAAGACACTGGATGCGTGGTGATAAAGGGTCTGATCAACCCTGCATTCCTGCGGTTTCAATCGATGATGCTGCTTCTGCAAAGTGCTTAATGCATGCAAGACATGTCGAGAGATGAGCGATGTATTTACGACCTCTTTCGGGGGTCGTCCCAGTGTGTGTACCGGCTGGTTTTCTGTCAACGTGCCTGTCGTCAGGGGTCCGGGTGTGTTTTCTTCGGAGGAAGAGGGTCTATCTTCAAGACCTTGGAGTGGTGGTGGGTTGCCATATGTTGCCATATACACTCACACAATTATCAAAGGAAGCGAGCCATGCAAGATTATGCAAGCACGAATCTCGGAAGCTTTTTCGGGATCGATATCTGCCACATACTGACCTAGATGATGCCCTGCAGGCGCATTGATGCAGCTTTCGACGTTGCCTGTGCAGAACCATTCTACAAGGATGCAGACCCAGACTGTGCGGCGGGGCAACTGGGCAACGGCCGTTGCCATGTATCGGGAGGAAGGCCTGGAAGCTTTCTACAAAGGCCTTCTACCATGCTTGCTTCTTTCTGTGAGCGCCACGATTCAGGAGCCCCTCTATGACACCATCAAAGCTGCATGGTTAAGGCGAATGAACCAAAATAATGCGAAGGGCGTTCGTATCGGACTGACAGCTGGCCAGGCATTCTGGTTGGGCCTTGGCAGTAAGCTCATTTCCTCCACGATCTGCTATCCACTGACACGAGTGAAGCAGATGTGCCAGGCGCAGACAAAGCGCTCTAAAATCTCTAAAGGCCGGCAGCAACAGTCAAAAAAGCAGCAAGGAGACGTATCAGACACGGTGCCCCTCAGCATGTTCGAGATGGCCATGAGGGTCTACAAAGCAGATGGGCTACGCGGCTTTGTGTACGGAATCGAAGGACAAGTCTTCAACGCGTCTATAAAGGCAGCTTTGAACAGAATGGTGAAAGAACGCATTCAGATATTTCTGCTTTTCTTTCTGTTCCCACATCAGTTTCGCAAAATGCGAGAAGCTGCCTTGCTAGAAGCTCAAGCATAGTGTAAGTGCGGCGTGTCGCAAAACATGTATGGTGTAAATGAAGCACCAGTGGGCTACTCAGTCAGCTGAGAGGAGAAAGTAGCTTGCAGCGCTGAATGCAAGCCCGCTTCATTGTCATTCATTGTCAGTTCATCAGTTTCTAACTTTGGGAGCACGAGGTTGAATGAATCACCACGGTATGCCTCTCACACACCTGTACCTTTGCGGGAGGGTAAGCACCCAGCGAGATGTTCAGGTGGAGGGGTGTGTTCAGAGCAGCGTTTGGATCACTCAAGTTGGGCAAGAATTATGAGTCTCCAATGAACAAACACCTCATCGCTCATCAGAGCATGAGGTTACTGTTGTGCTGTGACTGTGGGTGTCGGACTGATGTGGTCGGCTCATGTCGGCTCAAGCTGATGCTGTAGGCATGATTGCTTGGACTTGGAATGCTTTGATTGTACAACTTCTGGCTTTGGCAGATGCGGCGTGTCTGCCCGAAGGCATCGCCGAGCCCAACCGGCCGCTTATCACGAGAGGTCGGGTTTAGGGCTGAGACATGTTTAACATGTGTATGGGTTTCAAGGTTTAGCGGGATTTAAAGGTCGGTGGTGGTTCGTTCAAGAAGTGCAGCAAAAGAGAATGTGTTTGCCGATCGCCCGTGCTGGTTCGTTTCGACAGCCTTCAGATCCAAGTCTAATCGGCTCGGCCATGGTTCTGCTAGCTCTGCCGCTCCTGAACAACTTGGCAACTGTTGCTCTAACATGCCCTAGCACTCTAAAGCCTCCCCACAGCAGTCACCCCAAAAAGACCCAAAGCCATAGCATCGCCAAGACCGAAACCCTAACCCTCGGGTTTGGGTGGTTTTCGGAATTTTCGGGCTTAGGCCTGGTGGGTGCACTCCTGCCAAGGAAGCTGATCCAGACGGAGGACGGGCCCAGCCCGATCGCTTTGCTCGTATATGATTGGGCCTCGGCCGAACTGGGCTCCACCCTGGCCGCCATCTTGATCCAAGAGGTGGACCCACAGAAAAGAACATTTCCTTCCTTCCCAATTCCCCAAACAGTGCTGCGCTTTGGGGTTCGTACATTGAGAGCATATCGAGTCAGGCAGCCGTGACCTTGCGGTGCGCTGCAGGGACACAGGGCCTGCAACGCCATTACCACCCAAGCATCACTGCTTTGTGGCATCCGGCCTTTTCACACTTGCACTGTTCTGTGTCGCGAAAGCGTGGCAGGGCGTAAGCTCTTTCCTGTGCCTTGAAAGGTCTCTTGGATGGGTTTGCTGCCTAAGATCTAAGGGGACTTGCATTTCGTGGGGCATATGTTGCAAATGGGGCTCTCGCCTCGGTCCCGTCTGCTCCTCAATTCTAGACATGGGCAGACCTGTTACTCTTGGTCCGTGCCCGAGCAGTTCTCCGCCGCAGAGCTGGGCCGCTGCATGGACGCTGCAGCTGCCGCAGCCGGGCTGCTCGACTCGGCCTGATGACCTCCCCTCCTCTCCCCTCCTGCTTCGGCCTCCGCTTCTGTCTGTCAAGCCCTCTCAGTCGTGTCTTTGCCGGCCTCCGCCATTCCTTCTTCGGCGGGTCTGCTTGGGTCAGTCAAGCTTGCTGTCCGTCTTTGCCGTCTTTGCCACCTCCGCTTGGGTGTGTCAAGCATTCTGCAAACCGTCCCTGCATGCCGCAGGCTTGTCGAGTGTACCTAGCCGGGGGTGTTTCGTTTCTCCGTCGCCATTGTACTGACATGTGCTGACAATGCTTTCCTCAGTTTTGACTTGCCCTCAGAAGTAGAGAAGTGTCGCTGGGGTATCCTGGAGTGCTCTCTTGCAGTCTTGGAGTGCTCTCAGAGTGGTCTTGGCATGCTCTGCTGTGCTGTTTGGGGTCTACTCCGGCATAGTAATTCCTAAATATGCACCTTACACCCCTCGACGCTGAACCCAAAATGCTGAAGGGATTTGGCAGGTTTTGCAGTTTGGGTGCAGTGTAGCTCCGCGTAGTTGGGTTCTTGGGGCGCTTTGGGGCTTGGGGCTTGAAGATTCGAGGAAGCCGCAGATATGGGTCTTCTTGCTTTAGAAAAGTGGACTCTGTCTAGAAAGGCTTTCAGTCGGCCAGGCTTTGTGGAGTTCAGGTTGAAATTACAGGCGTGTATAGGGCACTGGGCAGCAATGGAATAAACAGGGTATTCTAAACGGCCCGACGAATTTCCGGGCTTTGGCACCTCGTAGAGGCTCAGGATGATGGCAGGCGAATCCTGCAGAGACTGCTAGGATGCTCTGCATTGACTCTGCATTGCTCTGCATTGTTCTGCTATCCGCCAGGTGCTGGGATATCATGCGACCCTGGACGCCACAAGAACTGTCACAGTCTTCGAGGGGCTCTTGACCTTGGCCGGCTGCGCCGACTCTCATCCCTAACTAAGTGTTGTGTTCTTGCGTTTTTGTTGGGGCTTCTGCTGGCTCAGGAAGTTGCACTGACGCCTTATGGACACCTGAACAAGCTAATGCATACTACTCATTGCAAGAAGCCACTGCCCAATGTTGCCGGACACATGCAAACATGCAAGCTTCGGATGGCATATCGGTCGGAGACCTTTTGATGGCTCTTCAGTTGTAGGGTGATAGCACATTTATCATACAATAAGACCAAGAATCAGAACTGACACGCAATAGTTCATTTTGCAGGGTGTCCAGTCCATGTTTGGCAATTAGGGTGCAGGGTTTTCAGGCCAGCACATGCACACACTCATACTTCAGGATCTCCCTACCCGCTCACCGAAACCTCCAAGTCCCAGCCCAAACATGGTCTACAGAACTAGTTCCAACTTCGCATTCAATTTCTTCTTGAAACCAGCCAACTAGCACAGATTTCAAGTCTCATCAGCGCCTCAACTCCAAGCCCTGTTTATGCAGTGTTCGGGGTGCACGCTGCACGGGGGGAGGGGGCGTGGTCCACAGAACTTGTGGCGGCGTGCGCATCTCAACATGGCTCAAGTTTCTCAACAGACTTCAGTGTTCCGTCCATCTTGCTGTTTCTGTTCTAACCCATAGATTTTCTGTTCCACGGTTGTTTTGAACGGCACAGGACACTCGCATGAGCGTGGGCGCTTTGAGAAAAACCGTCACACAAGCCAGGGTCAGGAAGCCATATTTTTGTCTTTAAGCATCTTTGCCTTCCGCTGAGCAAATGTTTTTTTTTTTTTTTTCTCGGTGCCTAGTTGCGGAGTTCCTATCGCGAGAATCGCGAGACAAGCGTAATCTAAGCACAAAGGAACCGAAGTTGGTCACAGAATGCTGAACATCAATATGCGCCCGTCAAAATGTTCCCTGAGTGCCTAGCATCTCAGCTTATTGCCTGTCATTCTGAAGATTGCATGCTTTGTTGCCTGTTGGTTAAAGGATTTGTGTTGTTCGATTGACCTGCAAGAAGTCAAGTCATTGTCCTTCTTGTGCACCATGGCGCGTGTAATTATGGCTGTTCACTCCACTCGTTCTCTCGCACATAAGCACCAGCCAGTTGCTGTCTGTTCAAAAAAACACGAAGTTGGCGTCTGACAGCAAACCTCCTATAGTCCTTTGGCTGTGTCGAAGGACTTCAACTGCTCCACAAAAGTGGAGCGAAAGCACCTTGGCTGGGTGCATGCCTGATTTCGCCGCTTTCCTTCGCATGTCGGTCCTAATCCAGGATCAATTTGCCGTTTTTCTGTTTGCGGCAGCTTAGCCCTGAAAGACGCAGCCGACCAAGCCATGCCCAAGCGCTCTGCGGGGCCCCCATTGTGCAAATCATGCCTGGGATCCGGATATGATGCAAGGAGTTTTCCTGAATGAAGGGCTTTTCTCAGAGGCTCCCAGTGCCTGAAGTAGGCTGAAGCCCCCCCGCAAAAATCCTCCCCAAACATATGTAAAACTTAATTCAGTATCTTGGAACCCTGGTCCGCCAGCAGGCATGTGGCCGTTGAGAGCTGGCTCAGTGAAGTCATCACCCTCTACCCCGCGTTTCGGGAAGCGCACCCGACCATTTGCCCAGAGGAGAGGGCCGATCTGCCACTAAGTCACTAAGTGCGCAAACCTCATCCTAGGTCCTAGAGGCCCCCAGGGCCCAGCCACCCCGAAAAGGACCCTGTTCCTCCAAGTCCTACGCCCACCACAACCTCCAACTAAATCATCCCTGAGGATGTTGGTTCCATGGGCTATTTCGGGAGCCACAACCTTTTTGTGAAAGCCTCGGTGAGAGATTCTGCCTACTCGGATGTCGGCCTGGCTTTGGAATTTTACAGGAGCGTAGGGCGTTAAAAATGTTTAATGAAAATATATTGTATCGGGTTTAGGGGCACTCCGATTTTCTGAGGCTGCAAACCCAAAACTTTTGCAGAATGTTGTTTTTGGCTTCAAGGCCCGCTTTGCAGGGTGGTGGGGGTGCAATAGGGTCGATGCAGGCTTCGGCATAAGCTTCGCCTCGCTTACCCGACATTTGACCTTTGGAGGTTTCTCAGGGCGCTACTCCTCTCCCCCTGTAGTGCTAAGCCTTTCCCCAAGACTGATGCAGCAAATCTACAAGACTTTTGATCTCAGCGGGAAAGTTTGGGACGGTGGAGTCGGTGCCCCAAAATGTCGGAATGTAGCTCTTAAAGAATGACGAACGAGTTAAAGTAATGGAATCTATAAGAAGGGTGAGCCCTTTGGGTGTTTGCCCCTAAACCCTGAGCCATGGGTGTTGGCCAATTCGGCAACCCATGGTTGTAGAGCCCGGATGGCCTCGTTGTAGCGTTCTTTGGTAGCACCTTCTCAGTCAAACAGGAGCTACAACACAAGCTACCATGACCCCAAGAAGTACTTCGACTCCTTCACAGACATTCCGCAGTCCGAGTTTTTCCCATGCAACACCTCCGGAAATGAGTTCGTGAACACCGTGCGCATGGAGCTCTACCGGCACTTTTCAGGAGATGATGCTGGAGTTACTCTCACGCCCGAAGGCTACGTGGCCTATTGCCCGGATGGTTATTTTTGGCTCTCACCGGCCTGCCGCCACGACCCCTCCTCCTGCATTCCCATCATTGCTGCCGGCAGCCTGGCAAATCATAGACCGTTGCTCAAACTGGCAGGACTACAGTCTTCTTTAGTTCTGATGAGTTCCTTAGCCATGAAGGGGTCTAGAGGCAATGGCTGGATCATCGATGCCCAGATGCAATGGGCGACTGCTTATGGCTTTCCTGCTGCCATCGGCATCGCCGCCAGCTGGGACTTGTATGTGCATCACGCAGCCGTTCTGAACATAGCCCCGCGTAGTCCCTGAGCCTCGCAAGACCTCAAACATCCTCAAACCTCAAGTCAAACCCTACAGCGCAGAGACTCGATTCATGCCCAGGTGGCAACATATCGAACCCTTTTCTATTGGTGGGAGCCTGATGCAACGCATGCGCAGCTGGGCGCTGTTTTTGAAGCAACAAACAAGGCTTTCGATCTTTGATCTTTGGTTTGAGGCAGTTGGGGTGTAACAGTGGGAGCGATGTACTCAGGTCGATTTAGGTGGCGGGCACAGGACTGGGCCAGAGTTTCAGCACTTTCGGGTTTAAGGAGTTTTGGGGTTTAATCTGTTCAGGTTTAGTAGGCGTCATCCGATTCTTGTCCTGGTCGATCTGATTCGAGCTCGATTCGGTTCACCCCCGTCGAAAGGGTTGAGGGCCTGACCCATGCGCTCGCTCCCAACTCACAACACACGAATTCTCAGGGCACAATTGGCTGAGCTCTCTTGTCTTCGCCGGGAAGACTCAATCGTTCAGTCGATTTGCTGGAGTTGTTCATAGTTGTTCAGTCAGCTCGGCAGCCGATCGTGCCGACTCCTACGGTAAGCCAAGCCTCGCCATCCTGACCTGACAAAAGCTCCCGAGGGGGGTCACTGGGGCCCTGGGGTAATTCTGCAGGGGACAGGGCCTCTCGCGTGCGCGCCATCATGCCTGCCAACTATTCTGCCTGAGTCAAAAACTGGTATTGGTTGGGTTCGGTGGCCAAGGGTGGGAAGACAAGAACATGCTTGAGCAGCCTGAACCCATCTGAACCCCAAACTCCCAAACCTCAAACCTTCAACCCCAAGCTGAGGCAGTTGAACCCGACAGGGATGGTCTTTCCGCGGCATGTGGCCAGCGAGTGGGAGGCTGGCAACCTGGAAACCGCAGGCCAGACTGGGGGTTGAGGGACATTGAGGGATGTTGAGAAGGCTTGTGGTTTTGCTTTGCTTTTCAAGAGCTTCAGGGGTGCGAAGTTGGAGGTTGAGGCTGGCCGTCTTCCGGGTATTGTCGGAAGTGACTCTGCTTGTAAACACGCTTGCTCTTGGGTTGTTCTCGTGGCTGTCGTGACCGGAACCTGAGACCTCGTAGACTCAGATGTCGGTTTGATGGTTTCGCGTGTGACGCTGGTGCTTAGGCCCAGCGGCTACTGTATTTGAGCGCCCTTCAGCACCTAACGCCCGAATTTTTGTCCGAAATGACCAGGGCACTTAATGCTCTTGAGCCTCCCTTCCCGCCCACCCCACCCTCCGCCTCGACACAAGAGGTTCTAAACCTTCCTGAGCAAACAGGCTATAATAGCCCCCTCAGAGGTGAGGACAGCTACATCGGCAAGTTGGTGAGCCTCCAGCTACGCACGGCGGCTCCCCAGGCTGCGGGGTCTTCATGTGCAAAAGAGCCACTTCGAGTGAAGGAGAAAAAAGAAAGAAGCTTTTGGGGCCTCTGCGTCAAAAGTGATTCAGGACAAGAAGGATTTAGGCCTATTTAGGCCCATTCTGTGGGCTTTGAACTGCATCGTTCACGCCTAGTTCCATGTGCCGGTTCCATGTGCCGAATTTCATTGCAGGCGAGGTCCTGATCCAGAGTGTCCCGATGGCAGGTGCACGCCTTCTTGGCCAACATGCAACTGGAGTTTGCTCAGGCTTTGCTGCGCTGTCCTTGAAACTGTACTACATCCTGAACCCCTAATAACCCCTAATAACCCCTACATTGAGAGTCTCAGAGTCGAGGGTTGTGGGACCCGAGCGGAATGGCACATCATCGCCGTGCACATCCGTGACAAGACGACCAAATTTTGTGGGACCCGAGCAATCTCACTGAAAACCTGGTTAAACCAAAAGCCCTTTGATTCCCAGGTTGCTTGGGGCGCTAGAACCTCTACACATTCCTCAGCTCGTGTACCCTAAGTCCCACAGTCCCAAACCTTTCTTGCACTCACGAGATGTCATGCTCAACCTGGAAATGCCTGGAGCCCTTATAAGGAGCCCTTATAAGCCCCACGCCCCCCGAAGCCGCCAAAGAACGCTCCTCCGCGTTGCATGCAGGTCTCAGAGCTTCTTCTCGATGTCGCAAAAGGCGCCAGCTTCCAGAACTCGGGCTTCAAAGTCACACTGAGAGCTCAACACTCACACCTGCACCATCTTGCACCGTGAACTGCTGTCGTGATATCGTGATGATTCAAGCTTCTATTTCGCAGGGGAAGATTTTGACAGTGGGCGAACTTATGCAGTATTGGGTTGCTTGGGTGATTAGCTGTTCAGTTTAGGGCTTACATGGCTTACACGTTACGTGAAGTTCACATAAAGGGAACTAGCTGCCCCAAATCTTGAAGCTTAAATGCCTGAGGTTTTGTGCCATATGTACGGCAGCGGTGTTCGCCCAGGAATGCCTCCTGCCAGTGGTTGCTTCAGAACCGCCAGAAGTGGCAGTCGTGGCGTCTCAGCTGGATTCGAGATTTTGGGTTGGTGCCTGGAGGCGAGCGGGGGGGTGAATGCAGGTACCAATTGGTACGGATACGGTGTCTGCATGCACAATCATGCGCATCAAGAGTGCCGACACTGCGTGTCGGAGTCGCGATCAGGGAAGCTGTGTGTTTTTCTTTGAGCACCGAATTTCACCTCGACAGGCCTCGACTTGTCCTTGCTTATCAAGTGTGCTGGCAGTCACGGGGATCGTGCGTGTCAGGGTCACGATACCTCAGAACCGTCGTCGTTTTGGAGCCTCGACAGGTCTTCACGTGTGAACACCTTCCGGGAGCATTCAATCCTCATGGTGCATTTTATGAAGACCTTTTTCCCGGGCAGCCAAGCTTGTCAAGGGGCCCCCCAGAAAACCCCCAGACATTCCCCAGGTTGGTGTACAAAATGCCGTGCTGCGATGTGATATTTCTGGAGTGCAACAGGGGAGGGCATGCCGCCCCAGGGTCGGCAGATGCATCTCTCGACGAGACAAGAGGAGCTCAAGCAATTAAACCCCAAATGTTCACCATTTGTCGTCTTGCACATCTGGTTATAAACCTGGTAGTGTTAAGATACGCTGCATTCTCAAATGTGATCTAAATTTGTTGGATCTTCCTGTATTTCATTCATTCTTGGTCATTTGTTGGTCCAGAAGCATATTGGAATTTCGTTCTGTCGTGACGATGATTGGGAGTCCTGACGGTAAACTCAGAAATTTGTTTGTTTTGTTGGGTTTTTCCCAAAACATGTTTTGTTGGGCTTTTCCCAAAACATAGTTGGGGTCATTTCTGAGTTAAGCGTCAGGAAAAATTGCATTTTCAGGAGGCCCGCTTTGCAAAGCTCAGAAATGGATGTTATCCGTGATGCGGGCGTGCGTTGCCGATGAAGCGACAGGCGAATGCAGAATGATTTGCACCTTTCGTGTAGAAAGCTGTAATGTTGCACCCTGTTTAGTGTGGGCCCCCCCCCCCCCTGGACAGTCGGAGGCGCGGATGGGATCCTGATTACACGGCCCCGGGTTCATATGATTTTAATAGGGAGGAGCTTAGATAAGTTCGAAAGGGGCAGTGATGCCCGGCTATCTTTTTTAAAGGCGCGGCGCGTGGAATTTTCTTACGGCGCCCGGACGATTTGTCTTTAAAGAGGGACTCCCAACTAGTCAGGGTGTCCTGAATAATTCGGCCAGTTTGTCTGTAAAGCGGGGGCCGATACTAAACCGGGTGCAACATTAAGATTTTTCCAACGCCAACTTGTCCGGCCAGCAGCCGAACAAGCTGGACCACACAACCTGGTAGCTTCTAGCCTTCAACAGCATGCATCGCAGGAGCAGTTCCGCGGCAACAATGTCGGTAGATCTTGTTTCCACACCCAAATAGCGCAAGCCCCCCTTGCATCTTCAAAAAACAACTCATACTCGTAAAGTGTTGAAACCATGCCTTGCAAGATGTGTACAGGTTCAAGGCAGTAGCAACAAGACTCCCGAATGTTGAAAGCCAGCTTTTAAAGACTCTTGAGGTCTCGTGGATCCAGCCCTTTGCTTTCAAGATTGCAATGGTTGATCCTTGAAACCCTTAAACAGTTTTTGCATGGGCTTTGAGATGTTCTAAAGAAAGTGCAAACGAGGTTTGGGCGATTCAGTGGGCTTTTCAAGGGTCCGGACCTCCAGGGAAATGATCTTCTCCAGGCTTTTAAAACGAGTGTGTTGTACTAGCGCTTCTACAAGAAGTGTTAAGCCGGCTCTGGAAGACGAAGACTTTCAACAATTTTAAGGAGTTCAATTGGCCTGTGAAAAACGAATGGGCCGTCCAAGAACGGATCTTCCGGACAACCCCTCGTTGAAGCTCCACGAAGCAGCTCGAGCTCTCAAGCCTCGTCGAAACCCATCAACAAAACCCATCCCAGTCCCCGAATCCAGAACTCCACAACCCCCCCCAACCCGGATTCAGAGGGTTGTTCAATTTTGCATTATGCTCTTTGCCGTTTTTTTTTGTGCCCCCGTTGCGGGCATTTCGAATTTCGTGAGCAAAAGGATCCCGGTCGAGACGAACTGCCTCCCGGGCTTCGGCCTCGCAAACGCGAGCGGCACGGTGGCCACACGGGCGGAAGCACGAGGCGCAGAGATGCGCAGAGTTCCTCCTTAGTTGCTTTAAGGGATTTTAAGGGTCTCTTGCGTTTTGTCTGGAGATTTGGTATGGGACCGTAAGCGCGTAGTACTAATTAGAACACAATGCTGAGCGCTTTAAGGGAGCTCATCGGAGGCATCGATTGGAAAAGCCCACAAGTCGCCCCGCTTGAAGGCTGCATTCTGTGTCCATTCGGAACTTTCAGCGCCGCGATCGGAGATGCATACGGCCCAACGTATCGCTGCGAGTCCTGCCCGGCAGGTGGGGTGCAGGATGGTGTGGGGTTTGGGCTGCTTCGGTGTCTAAAGGGCAAATTATCGGGCCTTTTCGGGCATTCATCTTTTTGAGCCTGTCGGAGTTTAGGACGTTTCGGGTGGGAGGCTGACAGTTCAGGGTGGATTCGCCGGTGGAACCATTCCTCGCAATGAGGCGATTTGAGGCCACGCTGGGCCGAATTCATCTCCCAAGCCACATGGTCACACGGGGCATCAAAGAAACACTCCTTCAATTGCCGCCTTCCATCGCTTTCAGGCCTTCAGCCTAGACCCAGTCATCCCCAGAGGGTTGAAGTCGAAGTGGCGCCTGAATTCCAAGCCTTTGTTAGTGTCGCTTTGGCACCGAAAAAACGTGCCTCAGTCAATTTGCCGCAAGAAACAGCAGCATGTGTTTAGTTGACATGCTTTCCGAAGCCTGAAGTCTAAAAGTTCAACGGTCTGCCTCCAACTGCCAAGCGCGCAAAGTCCTAACAACAACAAAACAGCCAGGCACAGCCCAGAACTTGCAGGGAGAGACCGCCTGCAGCGCGTGCGACCCCGGCAAGGTTGCTGGGCAGGTTTACTTCTTGGTGCTACTTGCTAGAGAGAGAAACCTTCCACTTCCACTTCCTATTACTGTTGCACTGCTTCAAATAGGGAGGGCCGCCCCCCCTCCCCCCCACCAACTAATTTGGACCCTCTCTGAACGCATGGCGCGGCGACCCCCCCCAAACAAATTGGGGGGGAGGGGAGGGGGAACCGCCCTCAGGGCGTCAAGCCTTCTTAAGGTCCCAAAGCTTGACAGCCTTGAAGACTCCAGGACTTCAGGCCTCAAGCCTTACTGCGTAAGCCCTTAACCCTAAACACAAACCCGTAAAAAATGACAATCACCCGGAGAAAAGCTGTGTACTATAGAGGGTGACGCAACAAAATACAAAAATGCGTCGGGCTGGCCCGTGGACTTCCTATCACGAAATTTGTTTGGGGCCTCGTTTCATAATGAAATTCCATATGGCTTTGCAGGGAACTGGCCGGGCTTAGTTTTCTGGATTCTCCGGGCTCTGGCTCTTTAAAATTCCTGGAGGTCAAGGCTTTCAGGGAATCAAGCCGTACTGCGCATGCCCTTAACCCTAAACATAAACCCTGAAAAAGCAAGACAACCGTCCGGGAAAAAAGAACTTGTGATAATAGCGGGCCACCCCAACAAACTTGAATGTTCGAAACTTGTGATTATAGACCCTGGATAAACTAAAGCCAGTGCAACATTATCAGGGCCAAACCGATCAGGATAGCGGATGGGGGGGTTGGGGGATGGAGGGGGGGGGGAGATGGCGCACATATTCCGGCAAAGGCCGTCGAAGCCCCTTGGCCCTTGACCTTCGCCGAACTCTTGGCCTTCGTCGGACCCCCTTTCCGAGTGCAAAAAAAGGCTCCCGGGCTTCGTCGAACTTCGTCTTGGCCTGCGGGTGTCCCGGGGCCTTCGTCGAGCTTACCTTAAGCACCAGTAAGTTTAGGCTTCAGGGTTAGTATGTTTGGAGTTCCTGACTAGTGGTGCTTCCTTGGTGTCTTGAGGGTTGTTCGCCACAGTGTTGTCAAGCGCTTTTGGAAGTCTGCCACCCTTCTAAGACACAAACCCCAGCTCAAGGTAAGGCC